TGGTCCTTGGGGTCAGGTGTCAGCCAGGTTACCCGAGCCTCTTAACCCTTTACAGGTAAAAGGATTTGGAGTCTCTGTACACAGAGAGCTGATACCCTTCCCTTTATAGTTATGACACACCCACAAGTGACTTATGTTATACCGAAGTAAGCGCTGGAGTGTACAAGCCCACAGTGTCTTCAAATTGCAGCATGGTCTAGAGAAACGTGCCTGGCAGAGTTGAGAGTCTGGGTCTGTTTCCCTATCTGTAAAAATGGCAATAATAATAATACGTACCTCACAGGAATTTACTGAGGATTAATATATGTTAAATACTTTGATCACAAAGCACTGTATAAGTGATAAATGTAATTGAAAGCTGATAGTGATGTTTGAAAGTATCCTTTATATTATTTAATTATGGGGAAAAGATGAGAACTGTCCTCTGAAGGATCACCGATGTATGTTTTTAATTCATGTAATGGCTCCTGGGTACTGTAGTGGTTGGCACTCTAGAAATGCATATTATAACACATATTTCCAACACATTAAGGACAGTGTGAAGTCTAAAATAAAACTTTGTAATTGTTTTCAAGTCAAACCATGGTGAGGTTGGCAATAGCTCGCATACATTAAAACAGCATATGCTAAGACAGGGGTGGGCAAACTTTTTGGTCCGAGGGCCACATCTGGGTGGGGAAATTGCATGCAGGGCCATGAACGTAGGGCTGGGGCAGGGGATTGGGGTGCGGGAGTGGTGCAGTGTGCAGGAAGGGGCTCAGGGCAAGGGGTTGGAGCGGAGGAGAGGTGCGGGGTGTACGCGGGGGCTCAGGGCAGGGGGTTGGAGTGCAGGAGGGGGCTCAGGGCAGGGGGTTGGGGTGCAGGAGGGATTTGGGGTGCGGGCTCCGGCCTGGTGCCGCTTACCTGGAGCGGCTCCGGGGTGGCAGCAGCACGCAGCGGGGCTCAGGCAGACTGCCTGCCCTGGTCTCGTGCCGCTCCTGGAAGCATCCGGCACCACATCCCTGCGGCCCCGGGGGGAGGAGAAGAGGGGGACAGAGGGCTCCGTGCACTGCCCTCGCCTGCGGGTACCTGCCCCGAAGCTCCCATTGGCCGTGGTTCCTCATTCCCAGCTAATGGGAGCTGCGGGGGGCGGTGCCTGCAGGCGAGGGCGACGCACAGAGCCCTCTGCCCCCTCACTCCCAGGGGTCACAGGGACGTGGTGCCGATCGCTTCCGGAAGCTGCGTGGGGCCCATGGTGCCACAGGGGTGGCAACCCCGCGGGCTGGATCCAAAGACCTGATAGGCCGGATCTGGCCCGCAGGCTGTAGTTTGCCCACTCCTGTGCTAAGAGAAATTTCTATTCCTTATACAGACTAAAAACTTTTGACTGCTCCAATTGGGGATTTCAAACATTTTTTCCTTCTGAAATTTTTCTTTTCTGTATAGTCTACTGTAGATAAGGACAGTGTCCTCCAAGGCAAAATGGCAGCTTCTGCCATTGCAGGGTACTCAATAGCAATATTCCAACTTGCCCCTTCTTCCTCAGAGGTTTTCTCTGAGAATGCTGCAAGCCTCAACTATTTTCAATTTTTATTCAGTCTCTTTACTTGAAAACAATTGGTTTGACTGTCTTTAAAGTAACTGTTATTTTATTAAGTATTCCAAAAAGAGCACTCAGGCTCCATAAAATGGTACCTGTATCCTTAACCCTGTCAAACAAGAGATGTGAACATCTGAGTGACTAGGAAGATTAGACCCAGTGACGTAATCTGGTCCAATAATTCCTTTAAGAGGCTCTTCTTTTATCCGTGATACCAATGTTGAATAAACCATTCTCTGTGATTCGGATGGAGGGGTATATGACAATTCATCAGTAGATCTGAGAGTAAAATATATTTCATTTTAAGCTATGCATTTCATTTGCAGTATACCTCAAAATGCACAAAAACAAAGAATATTATTTCAAAATGAAGTATCTTAATTTTTACATAAATTGATATAGTCATATTCTACAAAGAAAAAATGGGAAACATTTTATTTACAATGAGCATATTTAAATCATAGTACTTTTATTATGATAACTTTATGTTTCACACGTACTTGTTGACTAACTGAATACAAGCTCTCCAAGCATCTAGTTCCTCAGAAAGATGTTCAATTTTCAGGGGTACAGATACCTCCCGTCGTTTTAAAAGCTGACTAAAAAAAGAAATAAAAACTAATTAAAATATCTTCCCACAGAAAAAAATTAAATCAAGAAAATATACATTGTTAGAATTGAAGGGAAAAGAAGCTAGAAATTAGCAATATGAATCTGTCTTTGAGTAAATGTTGAATTGACCATAAAATTGGATATTTTTGCTATACCACTAGAGTTAAATTTAGGAATTATTAGTTTTTATATTTTCATATATAATTATCTTGATTTAACTGCAGAGTTTTCCTTTGAAGTCTATTTTTAAGGCTATATATGCTTTTTTTTTAAAAATGACAGTTATTGAATCTTATAGGAATTGTGTGCCTTGATACGTATTACTGACTGGTGTATGCTGAAATGATAAATACAATATCTGAGGATGTTGGAGGGCTAAGTGGATCAGTGTAATGTGATTTAGCACAATATCTGAAACAACCTTGTCTTGTCTGAGTACATGTGGAAATAGGAATTTTCAGAAAACTAACACTGGACCTAATTTTACATAAACCAGAGCAAGAAAAGAGGGACAGCTTTTCAGTTTACTCAGTCCCTGATTCTACAAGCATGCATGTACTTATGTTTAAGCATATATACAGGGCCATCTGACTTTACTGGGACATCTCATGTGCTTATGTGCTTTGTTGGATTGGAGCATAAAAAGCTATGAGGTCAGATTGTCATGGATTTTATAGGTCTTGCAGGGTCAGGCTAAAGAAATACAGCTTTAGAGGGTCCTTGTTCTCCTGAAACCTACATGGATTCTGTGAGTCCCAGGACGCCTCAAAGCTTGATGTCTTAAGTGTCACAAATAGATTATTACTAACCTATTTTTCCTTAGCTTCTTGTTTCTCTTATAAAAGAGAATATCTCATCCTGTTATTATTTCCCAAATCAATTTCAGTCAAATAAAATTATAAAGTACAATTGATAACTTATGATAAAGCAAGGAGAAGATCTAGAATATCTATTTACTTATAAAAAACAATCTTTTCTTTCAGGACCACACAGTTTGACTGAGGCCCAAATTCTGTTTTCAGGCTGACCTTGTGCCTGTGCAATGCAAGAAGCCAATGGAGCTCTGGGTGAGCATAGGAGTACATCCACATGTGCTCATTGCAGGAATGGGACTTTAGATTGATAAGCTTCTGGGGGCAGGGGCTCTCTCTTATTATGTATCATAATCCTGACGAAGGCTCCTGGGTGCTACTGCAGTGCAAATAGGTATATAATTAATATTACCTTGTGTATTCATAAAGTGCAGGTACAATGCTAGCATACTGTCTTCTAATAGCAAGTAAAGCACCAGCGTAACCAGACAATATCAGCAGCTCATTCCGAACTCTAAAAATAGAAAAGGATCAAAAGTAATCAGAGTTTTCAATCATCTGTAGAAACTTTAAACAGACTATTACTCTACTAAATAATTTTAAATATTGCTTGATCTGTGAATTTCTGTAGGGAATGTGTGTGCTGCCTGGCTGATTACATTTAAGTTCTAAACCAGATATCTGTAAACTACACTTCATCTGCTCAACACTGATTCCATTTATTGATTTTTATTTTTTCTTATGCTTCAGAATAAAAAGTGCCACACATGGACTCTGAGCATTTTCAGTTATTTAAAATAAATGCAAGTACAAATTTCAGCCAGCTCACTCCTTTCAGCAGGCTGCAGCTCCACATACAAACAATATCATCCCCACATATTAGCCAGTACTTCAGTCCTCTCTTCAAAAGCAGGGGCCATGGTTACAGGGCAAGTTGCACTTTAGATCCCTGGCTCCCCTGCACCCATCTCCAGGGTGGAATCCAGTGTTCCAATCACTTTGGTACTGGATCTCTGGGTTGCAGCATCTGTTTCTCAAGAGTGTTAACATGACAGAGTCAGCTGGGTTTGGCACCTGTAAACTCTTTACCTCCAGGAGCCTGCAACAGCAGCCAAAAAAAGTGATAAAAACAACTTCTTCGAAAGAAAGCATAACATATTCATTCACTCAAAAGGTACAGATTATGCGGAGCAAAGGGTAAAAACGAAGGCCTATATGTCTATTTCCCTTTACCTAGCTCTTAACATTTCCTTACAAGCTTTGATAAATTCATTAATCTCTGAGTTAGGAGAAACAGCCTGCTTGCTGCAGCTTCTCTCTCTCTCTATCAGAGACTCTCCACCAGGCAGCCTTTGATATCTCACACCTCCCCTTCTTTGTTCCACCAGGGTCTTTTAGACCAGTGTTGTTCAATGACGAGTCTGTGGACCGACACCAGTCCCTAAAATCTCCCTGACACACTTTAGAAAGGCAGCAAGATGGTCCCTGGTATCAAAAAGGTTGAAAATGCTGTTTTAGAGTATGTCTACACTACAGTAAAACTCCCGAGGCTCAGGCTGTGGGACCCTCCCCCCTTGCAGGGTCCCAGACCCCACGCTCCAATCTGAGCCTGAACATCTACCACTGCAATTTTATAGCCCCGCAGCCTGAGCCCTGCAAGCCTGTCAGCTGCCACAGGCCAGCTGTGGGTGCCTGATTGCAGCATAGACAAACTCTTAAAGGTTTAGTATCCCCTTTGATTGTAGGCTTAGATCTGGGAAATGTAATCCTGGCTAGCCTGGATGGAGGTGTACAGGGGCAATCCCCAATTAATAGCTTCCCCCATTATTCCCTTAAGGAGCCTTTTCTCCATCTTTGTTTTGCTTCCTATTTGCTTCCCCCCACAAAAGCCTCCTCTGATTTTATGCAGTCAGGCAGGATAATGTCAATTAGGCAAACTGAATGCATTATATCATATTTATAACCAGTAATAAAACTCCCACATTCTCTAAACCAGGCAAAACATTTAGGCCTTGTCTACACTACACTGCTTTTAGCGACACAGCCGTGTCGCTAAAAATCGGGCAGTGTAAACGCTGTTTGTCGGCACTTTTGCCAACAAAATACTTCCTCCCCTAGGAGCGGGGTTCTCGTTGTCAACAGGAGAGCACTTCTGCCAACAATGAGCTGTTTACACTGCCACTTGCTGCTGCAACTTTTGTCTTTCGGGGCGGGGGGTGAGGCTTTTTAAGCACCTGTGAATGACAAAAGTTTTGTCATTCAATTGGCAGTGTAGACAAAGCCTAGGCACTGCAGCATACTCCTTAAGTCCTTAACTCCAGGCATTTCAGATCAGCAGCAGGAGGGCATACCAGAGCTCTGGGGCTCTTATGGAGAATGCTCTCTGTTATGCAGAGGAGGATTTACCATCAGTGTCTCTGGTGATCATGATTGCAACAATGGCTTTGTCTACACTGGCAAGTGAATGACAAAACTTTTGTCGTTCAAAGGTGTTAAGAAATCACCCCTTCCTCCCCTCCCCCGAAAGACAAAAGTTTTGTCAAGGAAAAGCACCGGTGTGAAGAGTGCTTTGTCGGCAGGAGCGCTCTCCTGCCGACAAAGCTACTGCCGCTCGTTGGGGTGGAAGTTTTTTGTAGGCAGGAAAGAACTCTCTTGCTGACAAAAAGCAGCTACACTGCGTGCGCGCCTTTTAGCAGCACGGCTTCTAGCACACAGCCGTGTCACTAAAAGCTGCGTAGTGTAGACAAAGCCAGTGTATCATGAAGATAGAGGTGCTCAACTACACTTTGGCTATTTAAGGCTTTATAAGTTCAAGCCAATACCTTAAAATCTATCTGCAGAGCCACGTGCTCTCTACAGAATGGCCTAGTTATCAACCAGACAGCTACCTTCTGCACCAGTTCCAGCTGCCTATTAAATTTAAGATGTATCCCCCACAGAGTGCACTGAGATAGTCTAACCTTGCAGTGACACAGGCATGAATGATAGTAGCTATATCTGAATTTGAAAGAGTATGTCATACTCATCTGGCCAGAGGTAGATAGTAAAACACCTTTTTGATCATGACAGTCACTTCTAAATGCAGTTATTGGTCTAGCCAGACTCTAGTTATTTAACAACGGCAGCTGAACACCCTCACTCTTTGGTGCAAATAAAATCTCCACTAACTCTTCGGGTTGTTCTCTCAACCTACCAGCATCACCTGTCTTGTCTGGATTGAGCCTCAGCCAGCTTGCTCTCATCCATGCCCCAATTTCACCTATACACTGCATTAGTCTCTCAACAGCTCCAGCTTGGTCATTTGAATTGGAGACCTAAAACTTAAGGTAATTAGCCAGAAAACAATGCCATCTGAGTCTCTTCACTAACTCCTTTAATAGGCCAGATATACACATTGATACAAGAGGGGCAATAAGATGGAATCCTGCAGGACCCTACATGAGAGTGCCCTTACAGTTGACAAATAATTGCCTATTACAACTCTTTGGGTCTTCTCAGCTAGAAAAAGCAACCTCCACCCAGCTATTCCTGCCTGAGACAAAAGATGGGTCAGCAACACTTCATGATCAGCAGTTTCAAAGGCAGCTGACAGATCTAAAAGTCCAAGAATACCTGATCATTGTTACCTCAAAGGGAAAATTAAATGCAAGAAGTGCAGCCTGTGTACTAAACCCAGGTTTATGTCCATTTTGACTAGAGTGTCAAGGAGTTCTGAGGAAGCTAGATACTGTGATAGTGGTCTCACCACAACCTTCTTGACTACCCAAAATAGGGAATGCACAGGTTGTGGCCTGAAGTTCTCACAACACCTTCATCAATTCAGTGAAACTCAACCAGAAAAGATCTTGCATTTATCCCTTCAAGATCCTGCTCTGCTACTACAGATGCAGATAAGCTGGCCTGAATCTGAATTTAGGACCTAACCTTCAGTCGCAACATTTGCAAAACACCCATTGGTTCAAAGGAAGTTTGCCCATGTTAGGGCTGATGGATTAGATCATATAGTTGTATTTGTTATTTTTATTCAGCTGGGTAAGCTGAGAGCTATGTTGTAAAGATATCCAAGTGATTGCTAGCTGTAGGAAAGAAGTAGAACACATGACTGAAAACAAGGAGAAAGAGTAATCTTTAAAAAAAGAGGGAAGCCTCAGTTTTATAGTCATGGGAAACATACTCACTCACTACATTTATGCAGCACTAATCTTTCAGTGCGTATATAGCTTAGAAGATCAAGAAAGGGACACACTGAATCCAAAGTCCAATCTGAGCTACTGATTTGTTCTGTTGAAAAATACAAACAAAAAATGAAAATGGTAAATACCAAAGCAGAAAGAAGCCAAACAAATGACTATATTGAGATCAGGTTCTTCCATTCACAAGCCTACCTTTAATATATTGAATGCCAAGAGGAAGGGCTCTTTCTGGTTCTGTACTTAACAAATAGTATTTTATGGTTTCAAATATGTCTCCATTTGCCTGAGCAGTCTCTGCTAGCTGCATACATTCTTCTACACCTGGTAGATTACACTGGAAAACAAAGGTTTTACACAAGAAATAAATAGTTTTGTTTGAACAAGGTTAGGTTCAAGAAACTACGGAAGTTCCCATAAAGCATAACAAAAACAGATTTTCTCTGATATGAAGAAAAGATCATTCTCTTTATTTAAAGGTAATAAAGATTTTTTCACGGACGTGTATCACTAGGAGAGTACACTTTAATCCCCTCTATAGGGGTGCATACTGGTAGAGTCAGTACGCCAAATGTCTGGTGAATGTCAGCCTAGGCATCTAAGAACTTCGTGAGGTCTTTCTGTGACAAACCCACTGTTTAAAGAAGTCACTAGATGAGCAGTTAGAGTCAAAAGTAAAGCAGTCAGAGGAAGAAGACTCTTCCAGACTACAGAGGAAGTCTGCCAGGCAAAGGAGCCAATGGGCACCAGATGCAGTACCACAGAGATCAGGATAGTGGGGGAAGGAGGGATTCTTTAATATGACTTCAGAGAGAAGGGGACTATAAGCCCTATTTACAGGCGACTCTTATGACCATGAGCAATTAGAAACATTCTACCCTGGGGGGAATCCAGATTCTTATGGACAGAGGATCTGGCCTTAGTTTGCTACTGCACACATAATAAGAACAGCCACCACCAAGCTCTTACCATCAGCAGATTTCCAAGTGCTTTATAGAGGAGGTAAATCTCATTATTCTCATTTTATAAATGTGGAAACGGAGACACAGAGAAGTGAACGTGACTTACCCACAGTCACCCAGCAGGCCTGTAGCAGAGCTGGGAATAGAACCTATGTCTCCTGAGTCCCAGTCCAGTCTGATGGTCACTACATCAAACTGCCTTTATAGCATACCAGAAACCAAATACACATTTCTTATTGTGCATAAACTGATGGTAAAAGTCTTATGCAGATTAAACACAGAACAAAAATGGATATGAGAGATAATACAAAATATTATTAATATACAAAATAATATTCATAAGTGTTATGAATTTATCTACATATTAAGAAACAAAATCAATACATAACCTTATTTTACTATTAAAGTAAATGTTTGTTTTTATTAATAAAAGTCTCTTAAATGTACCTTTTCATGTAGGTCATTTATCTCTGCTGTGGATCCAGGATAGAAAGCACATAGCTTTACTAATTGCAATTCATTATTGGGAGTCATCATGAGAAGATCTGCTGCCAAGTCCCTGTGCAAACAGAAAGTGTACTCTCAACGACATGTAATGGTGGAGATGCAGTGTCAGAGGTAGGACTGTTTTCTTTACACTTGCCTTTCCTCTTACACTGAAGAAATATGTGTTGTTGCTGGGGGAATGGAAAAGGGGAATCAGTCCAGTAATAACGGCTTATGAGGAGAGTATTGCCTCTTTTTGCCCTAGTTCAACTCCAGGAAGTTGGTAAGGCACAAAGCTCCCAGAACTTCATGAAATCAACATTAGTCAGCACTAAAACTCACAGAAAAGTGTCTTGTAATTACAAGATGGGATTTCAAAACACGGAACAGGGATACATTTTCAGCCCACTGCAGATGGATTTGCCATTTATGAGAATCTCACTGCTGAAAATACATCCTTTATTATTTTTACTTCATCTCACATAAAAAAGCTTATAGGGAATATTTATTTAAGAAATAATTAACACAGCAAGATTTTAAATAGTTATTTTATTCAGTGCCCAATACTTCCTTATCTTGGCTCCTGCTCTTTCCCCAGTGTTCTGTGCCTATTCCTTGCACCACTACAAGCACCAAATACACATTACTCCAGGTTTGAACAACACTTCACTTGTTACCCAGGGAATGTAGCTGTTAGCCATAAAATTTAGCCTCTTCATCAGCACAGCTATCTCTGACTGATGTTCCTGAGTCTACAATCCCCACATTTGTTTTGCCAGTAATTGTAATTATTCATTAATTAGGCCAGAACTGAATACACAGGAACTGAAGCAGGAGTGACACCTATGGGAAATATGGGGAAATGCACAATTTAGCCTCAAGCAAATACAGATTGAGGCCATTCTCCACACACACACATTTCCACAGAACATCAAGTATGTGTCGGGACTGTTACCATCGGCCAAAGAGCATAATGCACCTGGAGGTGAAGCAAGGTTGCCCTTCATTCCCTGCACTCTAACTCATATTGGAGAAAAGGGCCATTTTGGTTCAAATGCTCCTCAAATGGGGTGCAATGTCTTCTTGTTGAATTTTGGTACTATATACTTTAATGGGAATAGAGAGGCTGGCATGTCCTAGTCATTATTCTGCCATTTTCTAATCACTCCCTTCCAGTGAGGGGTGCTTTTTCTTTTTCCAGCTCTACTTGATTTAGAATAGTTCTAATACCTTTAAGGTAGGACCCTAAATGTGCATTCAGTTAAAAACAGAGTGATACAAATCCCCATATTTTTATTCTTCTAGTTTGTTTACTCTTCACTCGCAGAGTTTATGTGGTCACTTGAAAATGTTAGTGAATTGTTGCTTTGTAAACAACTTCTGCCCATCTACCATTCTTCAAAACATTTATATACATATTTTATCAACCCTAGAAAAAAAACAAAGAACATAGTTTAAGGTTATTTTTAGTCTATGCTAAAATCATAGAGCTTCAATGGATTTTTTAGAATCTCTCTCTTTAGAAACAACAAAGTACCTGTATCCAAGAGATGGAAAGCTAAAAGGAAGATATTGAAACAGTAATGAGCAAAAAAAAAAAAAAAAAAAAAAAAAAAAAAAGTTTTTGTTTACTATATAGGGGACAAATTAATGAATAAACAGCACTACCACTCCAACAAGAATATAAATTTGGCTTGGGAAACAGCAGCAGCAAATTATACCAACAGCTTGATTCTAACCCCCCTTGCAAAACTAAATCAACAAGCTATTTGGAATATCAGCTTGTGTCATTCAACATATAATAGCTAATTTTCCAAGATACGCAGAAGCCATATCCAGAATACAACCTTTGTGGGATCCTGAAATGGCTTTCAAGATCTGTTCCTAAAAACTGTTTCCATAACATGGCTTTGCTGGCATGTACTGGCCTAAGTAGTTAGGGAAAAACTGTTTTTAAAAAAAAGTTGGTAGAAGTTAGTTGAGACCATACATTGAAAATAACTGTTTAAAACAAAGGTCTCTGTCATCCAAAACTGTGTTACCTGAAATGTTTTTCAAGAACCAATCTTGAAAAGAAATTCAGGATCTAGCAAAAATAGTGCAGCTGAGGCCAGTGAAGTAGGAGTTAAGCTTTCAATAAATAAATATTATTACGATTCATCTAAGGGAAAGAAGTGCCATTTTAGGAGTGGTAGGAGGTGATAGGCACAAACCAAAACTAAGCTGACATTATCAAACATTCAAAATAATTTCCCCAATATATTTTGTGTTTGTTTTTGAGAGAATACCACTGGACGAATGTATAGTAAAATGTTCCATCAATAACCTATTTCATTATCAGTTAATCAGGGATGGTCCGGTATTCTGAGAAATGCACTATAGTAAAATAAGAGTGTTTCAGAATAGTGGGTATTTCTAAATTTAGATTAAGTTATGGAAAAGTAAAGATTTCTAATGGTAAAGGGAGTTCCATATATGTTAGAAAAGCCAGGATCTCTGCTTCTCTCTATAATGAGATATAGGTATAGCATAGGTACACCTCTACCCCGATATAACGCGACCCAATATAACATGAATTCAGATATAACACGGTAAAGCAGTGCTCGGGGGGGGGGAGGGGGGGGGGGCTGCGTGCTCCGGCGGATCAAAGCAAGTTCAATATAACGTGGTTTCACCTATAACGCGGTAAGATTTTTTGGCTCCCGAGGACAGCGTTATATCGAGGTAGAGGTGTATTTACTATTGCTATTTTGAAGTATCTGAAAGGGGTGGTGAACTGTATTGCAGCAGTCTCTGGCTAAAAATTGGTGCAACAACTGTAAGTCTGAACATTGAGTTTACAAAGACTATACAATGTACACACAACTGTTGTCCCAGGAATATTACAAGCACTGGTTGTATTAACTGGGATGAGGTCTTTAGCTCAATGCAATGGTTTCTTCTAAGGGCCTGTCTATATGAACAATTAGATGTAGCAACATGGTGTGTGAATCTACCCTGCTACCCTTCTGTGGTTTAACTGTTCCTGTGCACCCTGCTGACATGCATTAACAGTTTGTTAGAGTGCTTTCAGCTAGTCCCATTTCAAAGTAGACTAGATCAAAGTGCACTAATGAACTGCTAATATGAATCATCAGGGTACATACAAAAAGAATGAGGAGTACTCGTGGCACCTTAGAGACTAACAAATTTATTTGAGCATAAGCTTTCGTGGGCTAAAACCCACTTCATTGGATGCGTGCAGTGGAAAATACAGTAGGAAGATATATATACACAGAGAACATGAAAAAATGGGTGTTGCCATACCAACTGTCATTATACAAAGTAAAAACTGTTTCCCCATGCTAATTTCTTTTCCCCTACTGTTACTCACACCTTCTTGTCAACTGTTGGAAATGGACCATCCTGATTATCACGACAAAAGTTTTTTTTTCTCCTGCTGATAATAGCTCACCTAATAGCTCACCTTAATTAATTACTCTCATTACAGTTGATATGGCAACACCCATTTTTTCATGTTCTCTGTGTATATATATCTTCCTACTGTATTTTCCACTGCATGCATCTGATGAAGTGGGTTTTAGCCCACGAAAGCTTATGCTCAAATAAATTTGTTAGTTTCTAAGGTGCCACGAGTACTCCTCGTTCTTTTTGCTGATACAGACTAACACGGCTACCACTCTGAAACCTGTCATCAGGGTACATACAGTTAGACCTCAGCAGGTGAGTGCAGAATAGATTCACAGCCTCAGCTTTGTGGCAGTCTAATTGTTTGTGTAGACAATCCCTAAGTGTGCATGGGAAAGTTACAAGCGTTACAATTGTACCATTTCATCTGTCTTCCTAATTCTGTCTGCAGTGTTTCTTGTTCACAATTTACACAAAAGCAACTGTGCCCACAATGATGGTGTGTCCTACAGAATAAGAATCACCAGGAATCTCAGAATGCAGCGATTCAACTACTATTGTAAGATGTGTTGCATGTGAACATGTCAGAACAGTTTTGTCAAAATTTTTGCTGGCTGACATGCCAAACCATTGTAAAGACAAGAGCCATAAACCAATCATTTTATGCAATCAATGTTCCTGCAACGGTTTCCTTGATTAAACTAGACCTACTCTTCTGTGGAAAGGAGCTCAACTAGGCTACTCTTGGTGTATCTCTAACTGGGTGATCAAATACCAACTTTGACAGCAAAACTAAAACTTAGATCCTTTTAAAAACAGATTGACTGTCCCACGTTAATTCCTATTTCTCTAAACAGAATACAAATCCTAAAATCATGCCTAAAGCTGTTCCTGCACATGGCATCATCTTTTCCTCCCATTATATGTTGTGCTCTCTATCACAGAACGATAAGCCAAAATTATACCCTGCCACAGTAAAACCAATGCATGGAGGACAATGTAATACAGGACCTTGTGAAATTTCTGCTGGATGACACAAAGGCATGGCCTCCTTCTCCTGGGGGAAGTCAAACAGCAATTCCGTGGTATCTTAATAACTTCTCATCTCTCCTAGCTATATTTCCAGTGCCATGCTAAATTACCCCTCTCCCTCCTGGGTGTTTATGCCTTACAATCCTTTTAAATACCACATCACAAATTTTTATCTAAGCTGCTGTTCACTCTTCACCTATGGATCGCTTTTGGCCTTACTTCTTCCAAGTGACTTTTGTTAAGTTTCTTCCGCCGAGTGACTATTTTCACTCACTTTTATTAAATTAGTTTTAATTTCTTGATTTGGGGCAAGTGAAGGAGCTTTACCTGTTCAAATAGAAGTTAAGAGTTTAGTAATCATTGTGGAAACACTGCATCTGCTTACTTATTTACAATACGTGTGTGTGTGTGTGTGTGTGTGTGTGTGTGTGTGTTTTCTGAGATTAATGAGGAATTAAGGAACATTTGGGTTCTTTATGTATTACCGGTCTGATACTGCTATTCTTGTTTAAGCAAAACTCCATCTGCCTTTAATAGGTTTGCCTGAATAAAAACGTCAGTATAAGGGGCTATATGTCATTTGGCATACTATTTCTCTGCATTAAATGTTCCAGATCTCACCATCTCTAGCTGGTGTATATTAAATGATATCTCAATTTCTATCTCATTTCTGCCTGCATCTGTCTTATAGAGCTACAGAGGATTCCAAATGATAGCTTTATTCATATCATCCTATGGACTTCTGTCAGTTATAACAACTTTGTGTTTTGTTAGAAAAAAAATCTTCTTTGGAGTAAGAAATTCTTACCATGTTGTTACTGTCATACATTTTCTTGCTAGTAACTCTAGAGCATAATGTGTTGCTTGCGCTGCACTTTCTCCTAAGACAGTACCCACACTGACTGCCAACTCCAGTTCATTTCCACGAATCAGGTTTGCCATGGCAAGCTTGCTCAATAAGAAAATCATATCAGTAAGTGACACAAGCACTTTTTAGGATTCACTGTGACTAGCATGTTACATTCATTTGTGAGATTGCGCTTTCTACAGAGTGACAAAACATGCATTAATTAAATAAACTAAAACTTAAAAGTTCTGCCTCTGAGAGGACTCAATAATTGTCTACCACATATCTCTGATCTTTTTATGAACAGAACTGCTTTCCTTTGGCCCAAATTCTAAAATCATCCTTTGTCCTGCCAAATCGTCTAGAAAACAAATATAAATTAACATTGTTTCAATAGAATCTACTATTGTCAGTTCCCAGCACAGACTGCAGGGGTGGGAGAAAACATGCTGCCCCCTGCTCCTGAGCCCAGGAGACTTTAGAATGGAGGTGCGAGCTTCCCCATCCTCATCCCACCCTCTCCTTGGGGTAAAGAGCAGCTGAGGTGCCAGCAAGGACTGCAATGATAGGAGAGGCCACAAGACCTTTAAACTCTTCTAGTTACGCTGTAACATAGGCACCGCCTAATGGTCTGCTTTCTCTCCTCATCGCCCACTATCTTGGAATATATTTCTGTGTGGAGGCCAGAGTGGAAAAAGGACACAATGGTACAGCAATGGTGGAGCACCGGGACAGAGCGAGAGAGAGAGAGATGATGGTGATGGTTTGAAGTAAGGTAAATTAAAAAATAAACTAACCAAAAAGAAATGTATTTTTAACATTTTGTGTATATGTTGTCTATTACTGTTTGCCTGTCTTGCCTATTTAGAGTGCAAGTCTTGTATTTTCCTGTATGTTTTCACACCATGTAGCACAATAAGATCCCTATTCTTACTGGGGCAACACAGCAATACAAATACTAAACACTAATATTTCTATTTCCCTATATTTAGAACTTATATTTATTCATATAATATTACATAAAATAATTTTTCTTTGCCTAAAAGTGATATCCTGGCCACACTGAAGTCAATGGGAGTTTTGTCATTGACTTTCATGGGGCCAGGATTTCACTCTATCAATGAGAATGAATAAAAAGTCATACTAAATGCAAATAATATATTTTTAAAATTACATAAATGTAGTCTGTTTTAGAAAATATGCTACAGCTTTCAATATAAAAAATAACCTACTATTGGTCTTTTCCTCTGTACAGAATAAAGAAAAAATATTACCTCAATATTCTCAACAGCTAGATGGCAACACGCTGCAAGCACTGCACGGCCATCCTGGAAATACCACTCTGCCAGTTCTTTACTGACTCTGTGGAGGAGTCTGAAACAACAAAACAGGAATTCTGCAAGAACACTTCTAAAGTTAATAACGAAAGCACCTGCAATCTTTATAAGTAAGGGAACCGAATGCGGTTGAGCACACTAACAACTCAACCAGAGAAGTTACTGACCCACTTTATTAAGATTATTCATCTTATTAACAGCACTAGACTTCAGCAACACAATCAGACCAAGCTATTTTTTGGTTCCTGGATTTTGACTGCATCAAAGTGGAGGACTAGAAACACAAATGTATATTTCCATGTTATTGTAAGCCCCTTGGGGCTGAGACCATCTTTTTGTTCTGTGCTTGTACAGAACCTAGCCTGGTTCTGGTCCATGACTAGTGCTCCTAAAGTTATACAAATACTAGGGCTGTCAATTAATCGCAGTTAACTCACGCGATTAACTCAAAAAAATTAATCGCGATTAATCGCAGCTTTAATCGCACCATTAAACAATAGAATATCAATTGAAAGTAGAAGTAGGACTGAGTGGACTTGTAGGCTCTAAAGTTTTACATTATTTTGGTTTTGAGTGCAGTTATGTAACAAAAATATCTACATTTGTAAGTTGCACTTTCACCATTAAGAGATTGCTCTACAGTACTTGTATGAGGTGAATTGAAAAATACTATTTCTTTTGTTTATCATTTTTACAGTGCAAATACTTGTAACCAAAAATAAATATAAAGTGAGCACTGTGCACTTTGTATTCTGTGTTGTAATTGAAATCAATATATTTGAAAATGTAGAAAACATACAAAAATATTTAAATAAATGGTATTCTGTTATTGTTTAACAGTGTGATGAATCACGATTAATATTTTTAATAATGTGATGAATCACAATTAATTTTTTTAATCGCTTGAGAACCCTAACAAATACTAAGTACTACTACTACTACTACTAATAAGCACCTGCGCATTTATAGGATGCTGATTTTACTATGTGCACATCAATACACAGCTGCACATTTGTCCTCAGAATTGGAGCAACAGCACTACATTTTTAAAAGGTCACTGTGTACATGCCAAATTTACCTGAACATCCATCTGCTTGCTCAAAAACCTGACTATGAAAATCAGATAACTGCACAAGCAAACAGATACTTGTGCTTGCACTTGCACATGCCCAGCTGTGCACGCATTACATGATTTATGTTTTTCAATGTAGGTGCAAACATGCAGGGCCGGCTCAAGGCACCAGCCCACCAAGTATGTGCTTGGGGCGGCGCCTGGAGGGGGGCGGCGTGGCGGGGCGCTCCGGCCCGAGAGCGGGGCCGCGACTGGGCTCGCCGCCCTCCCCCCGGCGCTCCGGCCGGTCGGGGAGAACGGAGGGCCCCAGCTGGGCTCGCCGCCCTCCCCCTGGCGCTCTGGCCGCCAGGGGCTCTCCGCCCTCCTCCCAGCGCTCTGGCCACCGGGGAAAGCGGAGAGCCCCAGCCGGGCTCTCCGCCCTCCTCCCGGCGCTCTGACCGCCGAGGAGAGCGGAGCCGCGGCGGGCTCACCGCCCTCCCCCCGGCGCTCCGGCCGGTCAGGGATTGCGGGCCCGCGGCCAGGCTCGGCACCCTCCCCTGCCCCCCTGAGGGGGAAGAGGGCGGCGGGTGGCAGGGGAGGGCGCCGAGCCCGGCCTAGGGCGGCAAAAAAGCCAGAGCCAGCCCTGCAAATTCATGGGTTTTATTGTGGGCATGTTCGATGGGGAGTCCACCCCACACTCTCCCTGTAGGGGTTAATGGAGGCCAGATAGACCAATAAACCTATTAGGTGGCAGACTGGGAGAATTAAGGCTGAAAGGAAAGCCCTAATTAGAGGAAGCTCATCTGTGCAGGAACAGGTAGGGCTTCTATAAAGCCAGGGAGCTGATAGCAGAGAAGAAGTGGTCTGTAGTCACTCCCTGGGTGAATAGAGGTTGTTTGGGACTATTGAGGGTAGTGCACAGTTAACTCCTTGGGAGCAGGGAGTTTAGTCAAGCACACTCACACATGAGAGAGAGTAGCAGCGGGGCATGCAGCGAGCAGCAGAAGGGGGCCTTGAACCTGGAAAGAGCTGATTCTCCAGAGTGGCTAGGAGCAGACACCACCTGCAGTGAGTGGACCCTGCGACAGCATGTCAGCTGTCACTATTTGAAAATTTGGCCATTAGTGTCCACTATGTGGCATATTCCTCTTTGGTGAAATGCAGTGTTGCCTTCGGGAGCAGGGGAGGGGTTATGGGAAATATAGAAATAATTAACCTGATGATACTTACTAAAATATGTTTTAGTAAAGTTTTAAATGTCATGAAAATTAAGAAAGTTCTGTTGGTATTAAATAACTCTAAAACGTAGTCATAACAAGCATTTCAAGCCTAATTTATCTGGAAAAATCCATTTGGAGCCAGGAGTGGACATTCACTGATGGGATCCGTTAATGCAGTAGCAGTTAGTTAATGCAGAGTCTGCTAATAATTAAGTATAGGGGAATACAAATGTCTGTTTCCTAGACTCTACACTACTGATGTCAAATCCAAATACCAAGACTTCCAGTGTAGTTATTGTCCTTGAGTGCTTTATACTCTGAACTAAAAAATTTACGGAAAAACTTAAAAAGAAGTGACTTCTCTGTAGACTCACTCATTGTAATCTTCCAAATTTCCATCAGTATTTGAAGATCCATTTGATGCTGAAAGCTGTAAGATTTGCATATTTCCCTCACAAGCTGCCTAGAAACCAACAAATTAATCCATCAACCATAAAATACTTTTGCAACCAGACAATTTGACACAGAATCCCTTTTGAAACCTGAGGGCAGTAAAGGAAACATTCTAACTAATAAACTAGTTTAGAGCAACTCTGTTCCCAGGACCTTCTTAGCCATGCAGGAGAGTAAGAGGCAGCAAGACACTCCCGCATCCCTACTGCAGTTGCAGGAGGTCTTCCCAGATTTCAGGCCCAAGTAAATATGACGGATGCTCCCTTTTCTAGAAGCAAATGGACAGGGAAAGAATGAAGAATAAGCAGAGCCATGGCTCTGCTCCTCAATATGCCTGCCAGCAGAGGTGGATGCCTGTGAAAATTCAGGGTTGCAGAAAATTACTTCCCACCTGGAGTAAGACAGGAGCAGCCCAGGACTCAGTGACAATTCCTTCCTGGACTCCACCTGGGGCAATGCAGCTATATGCCACTACACAGTCAGGGTTGAGTCAAAATGCTCAATATAGCCTTTAGTGATTTGATTGCTTACAATTGTTATTTGATTAAGCCCTCGAAACAAGAAAGGCCAACAATGCTATGAACTACAGCAAAAGCATCATGGTGATGTTTCCCGGAGCCAAACAACTAAAAAGATCAATCCTAGCTGTATTGTTTTAAGGTTCAAGGAAAATTAGGCTGTGCATGAGTATACTTCTAAGCTTTTTCCTCAACAGAATATAATAACTATTGCACAAAAGCAATGTGAACATGGGACTTTAAAAAACAAAACAAAACATGCAACAAAAATTCACAATGATTTAAGCTAAGACCACAAAAGCATTCTAGGGTAGTCAGGCCCAAGATAAAGCCTTAGGGCAATCTTACTTACTTATTTATGCATGTAAGCTCTTTAAAATCAATGGAAACCACTTGCAATGAATAAAGCAAGAGAGAGTTGACATTCAGAGGAAAAAATAGACAAAACATTCTGTCTTCTAAACATCATTTTACAGACACGATCCTACATCCCTTCTGCATCATGAGCTCAAATACAAATTTGGGGTGGCACAAAGAAGGCAAAAATGGGCAACAAATATTTTCAAAGTTGGGCTATTAGTCACACTGAACACATTAACAAAGTCAGATATTTAAAACTGTGTATTTTCTGCAATATTCTGAACTTTAGGAGCACATTTTTAGCACTTTGCTGCATAGTTTCATTGATCACATTTACTATCCTGCCTTTTTTTTTTTTTGTATTTACATTAATCAAACTATTTGTTGTGAAGATCCTCTGAAAGATAGGACAGCAATTAGAACAGTGCAGAATTATCCTAACAGGGGCCCAATCCTATACCCATTAAAATCAATGGCAGTTTTGTCAATGACTTCCATGTATAAAATCTCCAAATATGAGACCCCTTTCACGGTTTCCAAGTCAGAGTTGGCCAGCTGAATACATGAGTGACATGTGGGATTGGGATTTTTGGCCATTTAACAGAAGTGCATGTGTCTGACCTATTAAATATATGCTTAATCTCAGATTTAATGCTGAAAGGTCAGCAATGAATAACTAAATTTACCCCCCTTTCCAAAAGTATTTACTCAATAGCTCAGGGGTTCTCAAACTTTTTTTGCTGGACCCTCCTTTGAAAATACTTCAGGCTGGGATAACCCCCGCAAAAAGTGATAGCAGATTACTGTACATACTCATAGGAGCATACTCGTGATATTGCCATCCTTACTTCTGCGCTGCTGCTGGTGGTGGCGCTGTCTTCAGAGCTGGGTGGTTGGAGAGTGGTGACTGCTGTACCCCTCTTCTCCTCCAGCTTGCTCTCCTCCCAACAATATTTGTTTTATCTCATGACCCCTAAAATAGCTTGTGACCCCTTTTTGGGTTGGAACCCCCAGTTTGAGAAATGCTGCATTAGCTCATGATAAATATGGACCAATATCCATGTCAGCAATAATACCTGTGCAACAAGCAGAGCCTCTTTAAGTTGGCCTCTTGAAGTAAAAAAAGTGACTAGTTTCTCCACATCACCAGTAGCTATGCAGTATGGGATAACATCATCATTTTCCTCCTGAATTAACTGGTCAGCTCTCCTAAATGAAATTAAAAACGACCTGGCTGTTTAGTTTTATTTGGTGTTAGATATATTTTTAGCACCCCAGTGGTACATCTAGCAGTAGAAAGATCATTAAAACCCAGCTGCCTTGCCAGACTCCAAGAGACATTGGGTGTATTTACACAGCCCAAGGCAGCGAGCCTCCCAGCCTGGTTGACAGCTTTGATGATTCCTAAAAATAGCTGTGTAGACAGCACTTTGAAGTTGTGGCTAGGGCTGGAGCTCAGGCTGTGAAGCACCTTCCCTCCCCCGCTCTAGGCTTCAGAAGAGGAGCTCCAACCCAAACTGCTATATCTACACAGCTATTTTTAGTATGGTAGCACAAATCCAAGTCTGTCAACCCAGGCTCAGAAGCTCGCTGCCCCAGGCTGTGTAGACATATCCTTACAAGCTATACAAGATTCTCCCATGAAGACACGACATTAAAAGATTTCAAGCCTCATCACAGATTCTCCCCCAACCCTTAAATTTACTGAATAATATAGTTTTAAAATGTTCCATGCTTTATATATATATATCTATATATATATATAGAATCCCTATTGAAATCCTCGCTCATTCCATCACAAGTTTTAATGAATAATAAAAGCCACATCACTGGAATGTTGAAAAAGATGCCAGATGCAGTTTACTTTACTAGTACTGATGAATTATATTTGTCTTGGTCCTTTATTTTATGCATATTATAAGTTACAATTGAGCAATGTGTTTTTAGCCTTACCTTTGCATTAGCTTCTTCCAGTATTTCATAGAAACACCTGGTGCAACTGAGAGTGCTTTGTCCCACTGAAACACAACATGTTGTACATGAAAATTTTATGTTTAGAAATAGTTTAAATCAATTACATGTCTTTTCCATTAAAAATAAAATTGTCATGATGTAAAAAAAGAACAAAAAATTCGGTGTTACTTTTTATTTGTAAATTGGATACATTTGTTCTGGAGTAACTAATACCCAGATAAAAAAAGTTATTGAGGTACACCTCTACCCCCCTATAACACGGTCGTGGGGAGCCAAAAATCCCTACCGCGTTATAGCTGAAACCCCATTATATCGGGGTAGGGGCGGCAGGGCTCCGGCGGTGATTTAAAGAGCTCCGGGCTCCAGCCGCTGCGGGGAGCCGAGGCCCTTTAAATCGCCGGCGAGCCCTGCCGCCGCAGCCCTGGGGTAGGGGCAGCAGGGCTCCGGCAGTGATTTAAAGAGCTCCAGGCTCCGGCCGCTGCGGGGAGCCCGGGCCCTTTAAATCGCCGGCAGAGCCCCGCTGCCGCAGCCCCGGGGTAGGGGCGGCAGGGCTCCAGCAGTGATTTAAAGGGCCCTGGGCTCCCCGCAGCAGCTGGGGCCCCGAACCCTTTAAATCGCCACTGGAGTCCCGCTGCTACCGTGCTATACACAAACCCGTTTTATGTCGGGTTGCGTTATAGCGGGGTAGAGGTGTACGTTCCTAAATAAACAGATAGGCATTTCTGCAAATCCCACCTAAGTGAGTTAGGGCTTTTGTAAATCCAGTTAGGTACCTATGTGCTTTGTTAGAACCTAAATACCCTTCTTAAAAATGTAATGTTTGGATTCATGTTTGCCATCTCTTGGGCCAGATTTACAGAGTCACTTTTTCAGAACATAAACACGCTTTAAATTTTGTGTCAGTCTTATGGACCATAAATAGAGTCACAATTCATGGGGTGTTGTGTACATTATTCCTCAATAAGATTGTTTTAGGAGTTATTTTAAAAAATCTATTATTGCACCCATCACCATAATGCTGAAATGCAAACATACTACTGTTTATATAATTTATTTATTTCTCCACAGTAAATGTTCTGTTATTTTATTTATTTATCCAATTTTCTCTTTATTGTTTGCAAAGCTTTCTTAGCAAGATCAGCATTGGAATATCTATCTTTAGATAGATAGATAGATACAAATATATCTCTCTCTATATATATAGATAGCTAGATAGATAGATACACCCACATAGACACACACACACATACAATTAGCTTTGTTTTAAGCAGATGCATTTCTTACTAGTTACTGAAACTAGGTGAGTGTTTCATTAAATGCAAAAATGACACAGTAGGTAAAGCATACCTGAAATGCTATCATGAATTGCCAACCTTACATAGAGCAACAGCATTTTAACAGAAAACAAATAACCAGGGTTTTGGTTTTAATCTTCACTGATGCTATGACTCAAAAAAATTCCCCTCCCTTAAGAGATATAAAATATGCCATTTTAGTTGTCAATACATTTTTGTTTGTACTTCAGTTAAAAGTAATCTGTTCGGAGCAACCCATCTTGTTAACCCTTTGGGTGTTGCCTTAAGCCAAGTTTCACTGTACAGGTTAAAAACATCAAAATTGCAGGAAGATCACTCTTTGCTAGATTTATAACTCTGTTGTTTTCTCTCATGCAGAGGTAGTATTTATTAGACTTTTATACTGTACTTAGTTCTTCATTAGTTGGTTTAATACTTTACCTCTCCAAGCTCCACCATAAGTTCACAGTATCTCTGAATTTGTCCTAATCTTAAATGTATTTCCGCTGCTTCTTTTAGCCTTTCCTCCTTGCTAGGTGCACCAATACCTCCTCCAAATTTGGACATTTTTACTGTTGTTAGTTCTTGGGCTTTGGACTGGTAAAGAAAAAAAACACTATACTTATTTTTTTCTAATTAATACAATTATTGCTAAGACCAGTAAGTATTAAAATCAAATATTTTAATGGTAATATTAAAAGTGCCATTTGAGAAGATAAATAACAGCTTTTTCACTAAAGACCTTAAACATTGAAGAGATTATGTTGAACTATTACATTGCTACACCCATTGCATTAGGGCTAATTAGTTGTATTCATATATTATTTATTTATTCAAATTTATTTATAATTTTTATTTATTATTTTTTTCATTCCATTATCCTGATTCATATTTTTTGGATTATATGTATTTTCATTTCATTCCATTCTTAGACACTTATTGATATCTTATACATATACATATGCTACCTCATAAAAATCATTACCTTGTATTAAACACACATTTTGTGAAAACACACACATACACACACGGGGGGGGAGGGCGAGATGGTAACTAAGGCTCTTAGTTCTGATGGGAGTATGGAGTTGAATCTAAGTGAGGGTCGGATTATGGTAGGTGGGTTTGGTTTCTGCCCTTGAATCCTCATAACCTGCCATGTCCCATTCCCTCCATGATTATTTATATTTTTAACCATAATGGAGGTAAAGATTTCAGTTATGACTATTAAAAGGAGAAGAGGAATTTTCCCATGTGCTAATTGTATATAAGAGAAATTATTTATAGAGAGTTAAAATACAAAAATCACATTTCGTCTTAACTAATTAACAGAAATAAGGCAAAAGTGAACTTTTCTAACCCTCCTCCCATGTCAAGGGCTCTCATTTTATTTCAACTATCACTCAGTCATAGCTGCACATGCGACAATTTTTGCATTCATGACTTCACAGCACCAACGACTGAAGATGGAGATTGAATCAGACCTTTACACAAGTGGATAATGCAAAGATCAGTTCTTGGCCCTATGTTATCTAACACTGATTAATGACCTGAAAGAGACCCTTCCAGAGAACAGTTCCATTGCCTGCATCTACTGGTGCTTACAGTTTTCTCAAGAAGCAACAGAATAAAACTGACCTAACTCTTGCCAGTTTCATTGCTCTCTACAATATTCTCAAATAGCAGCAGTGAAAAAAGTGACAACACTCTACCCAGTTTTTAGTCTGCAGTAGTTTAAGGAAACCTAAGAGCAGACAGCATAGGTGTTGGAGCGCACTGTCTGCAGACTTAGGAGACCAATACTGGGGATGAGTAAACCTTGAAAATGTGAACTGAGTGTATCTACACAAATATAAAGGCTAGATTTTTTTTAAGCTTTTAGGGAAAAGTTGAGAGTTTTTCAGAATTTGATGGCATTTGCCCAGAAAAACTTACTACATGCCATGTCAGTGGAGGTTTCAAGCCCTACTCTCAATTTTTTTGTCTTTTTTTCTAAAGCTGTGATTTGAATGTGCCTAATTCAAATGTAATTCTGGAAGTTTGATCCTGAGGGATATTATGAAGACAAAGAGATTTTCTGTTTGCTTTTGCTTTTTCAGTAACATATTATCAGAGTAAGATGTGTGCTGAATGATAAACGTCATGGTTACATAATCAAGTGATTTGACACATTGAACATCAAAGTGCATAATAACAAGAGTTAGTAGTCTGACTCCACAGCGCAGGCTGCTATAATGTTTTCATTTTTCCATTGTTTTGAAACACTCTGTTTTTAACAGACTATAATCTAGCATTTTACCACTCAACATAAGGGGTAGTCACAGGTGCCTCTAATACAGGGCAGAACAGTACAGAGAACTGCAAGTAAAATGTTACTCATGATTTCCCCCTTGCATAGCAACTAAATCAACAGAGTAGCTGTGTGTTCAAACCTTTGCTTTCACTTACTCCTGTTGTCCCTATTAATGTGTGAGAAGAGAGACAGGCGGAGTCCAGGACAAGGCAAAAATAATAGCTTTTTACAAAAGGCAAAAGGAGGATGGAAGAAATTTGTACTATTTGTATTACAGTAGCAGTAGCAACTAGATGCCTCATTCATGGCGAGGGTCCCAATGTGCTAGGTGCTGCACAAACAGAATAAAAGATGGTTCCTGCTCTAAAGAAATTACACTTATAATCAAGACACAGTAAGTGGATTTAACAAACAATTGGACACCTCTGCTGGCAGTTTCCCTTAGGCATCATGGTAGAACTGGATCCTAAGAGGGATTTGAAGGAAATCAGAGTAGCAGATTTACAGCCTGCCTTTGGGGTGGGTGGGGAAGGAGAAGGTTGTTCCATGCGTAAGTATAGCATGAAAGGAAGTGTGTGGTTGGTTGTGGGAGAAGTGGACAAATGGGCCATGCATCATAGGTACAGCCAAGAGTGGGAGATAATGTGATAAGATACAAGAACCTAACAGGGGCTACGCTGTGAAAGGTCTTAAAGATAAGGACCAAAGGCACTGCAATACATCCTTGTGACAGGGTAGTCTGCCCCTAAAGAATAAGGTATCTAGGGGTCAGCCCATTCCCATCATGTAACATGGCCCTTCAAGATTTTGAAAGTCAGATGTATATAAAAGGACCTAAGAGATATCGAAAGAGAGGAAGCGGTCCTGGGAATAATTGGTGTTTTCAGGGCAATCCAATCACTGTGTCTTTATGGGCACTAGCCAGGAGCCTTGCAGAGAGGGCAGGACAAGGCTCCCCTCTCACCCAATCAACTGGGGATGAAGTGAGGGAAATGGACCAGCTTAAATACTGCCTCCTCTGTCACTGCAGAGCAGACACTAGCAGAAGAAGTCTGGCTGCTGAACCCTCTGAGCCTGAAAGTTAACTAGGGAAAAGGGGCCAACTAAAGGAGAATGCCTATGGTTGGCTAAATTACAACCCAGCTCCAAAGAGGAGAACTGGAGACTCCTATCTTAAGGAGAGAAGTAATAATTATCTGAATTACCCAGGTCCAGGAGGAGGGGTGGGGCTCCTGGCTTAAGGAGAAACAGGGTGACTGTTTCATTGACCTATCCCAGAAGGAAAGCTGGGGACTCCTATTTTGAGAGAGCGATGATGTGAAGTCCTACCCCAGTTCCAGAAAGGGGGCCTAAGAGGTCTCCTGAACAGGGGCAGGGAGCTGATCACGACTCTTATACAGACTGAGCATGGAGTGAAGTGAGATGACTATCAAAAGTGAGTTGCACTTTCTAGAAAGACTTAGTAAATCAGACCCCATGAACGGGGTATATGTTTTGAATTAATCTAGTCTGGGTAACTGATTGAAAGAACACAAAGGGGTGATGCATGCAAAACATCAGCAGGGCCCTGAAGTGGTGTGCTGGAGGGCAGCGCTCCATGAGACTCCACAAGGAAAGAAGAGCCATACTAGCAGGGCGGGCTCCAGGCACCAGCGCAGGAAGCAGGTGCTTGGGGCGGCCAATGGAAAGGGGCGGCCCGTCCAGGTTTTCGGCGGTAAGTCCCTCAGTCCCTCTCTGAGGGAAGGAGCCGCTGCCAAATTGCCGCCGAAGAATGAAGCGGCGCAGTAGAGCTGCCGCCGAAGTGCCACCGATCGCGGCTTTATCTTTTTTTTTTTTTTTTTTGCCGATTGGGGCGGCAAAAAAGCTGGAGCTGGCCCTGCATACTAGAGATGTGATCCAGTGCCTCTGTCAATAATCCATGTTTCACTTGTGTCCATGAGCTTTATCCTCACACCTGATCTTTTGCAAAAAGAAGAAATGCCTGCCTTTTTTCTAAAATGTGACTCCTTTTCATTGTAAGCGTTCAGCTTTGTAAAGCAGTGGATTTTCATATTTTTATAACTAAAAAATAAAACTACTGATGAATAAGTTTCACATAGTCTGCATACTTCACTTACCATTCTAAATCTAACCAGATGTTTCATATGCATAATTCCTTTGCAGTAATTTTGTGGAAGCAAGCTATCGTCCTGTCCTTTTATTACAGCAACGAGGTCCCATAAATTTTTACTGCCTCCTGGAGGCTGAAATAATTTAAAAAAAAAGAAACAGATTACAATAATGTGCAAGAGATATTAAAATGAAACCTGCAAAGTATATGGTATGAATTTATTAGTCAATTCAAAGGTAAATATTTTCAGAGTATATCAGGTTAGACACATACTACAGTCTTTTGAGTAAGAACTATTAGTGCAGTTAAGTGTATCAAGATGAGACCTGTATCCGTTATATAGCCACAAAGCACAACATACTTATACACATACATAGCACACACATACCACATGTGTGGAGAGAATATCTGTATAAAACTGAAGAAGCATGTGAAAAAATAGCAGAGATGTCATAAATAAAGAACACATGATGGTGTCATATGGAGGTTTTACTGCCATCAGTTAGAAGTGGTTGCATTACTCATATGTGGCAAACTAACAAATGATATGCATAATCCTAAATGAACGCTGATAAAACCTTTGTTCATCACCACACCACCATTCATTTACTATATGCCATGTGTGTTACAGAAATACTATTTGGGGAATGTTTTAGTGAAGTTTTAGTGGGTCTAATTCTTGTATCCCTCCACCTGTAAATCCAGGTACCTAGGTTACCATGAGTCTAGGGCTCAGAGAGAGATTAAACTAAAACATATAAAAACATCATTAAAGTGACCCAAAAAGCCTTCTTAGAAATAAAAGTGTCATAAATTTAATGCCTGATATATTCTGAACTGGGAGCAAGCACTGGGTCCCAATTCTGGTCCTGAAAAGTTTAGGAATAGGACTTCAAGTTTATCAGACTTTAATAGTAGTGACTAGAGCTGATTAAAAAAATTCCAGAGACTTTCTGACACACGAGAAATTCTGATATTTTGACATTTGTTTTCGTCCCGAATCAAAACTAAACATCAAAATATTTATACTTTTTGCAGAACAAATATTCCATAACATTCTGATTCAGAATTTTTTGTTTCTATGTTTTTGACTGAAACAAATGGGGCCAGTAGGTGAGAAAGGGGGCTTGAGTGACCCGGAACTACAACTGCCATGAAGTCCTGCAGCAGCTCAGACAACCGCAGAGCTTAATGCAGACTCAACCCAACATGAAACACTTCACTTTGACAAACTGAAACAAAATGTTTAATTTTGGGCGGACAAACAAAAGCAATTTTATTGATTTTCTCAATGGAAAATTCTGCTGAAATTTATCTATTGCAGCAGAAAATTCTGATTGTGATTATACCATATTTTCAACCAGCTCTAGGAGGGACATTTTCCATCTATAAACTATCACTAAGCAGAAGTCCTTCGTGCATGTGCTGAGCCTATTTTGAAGGAAATAGTACACAAGGGAGGGGAGAAGAAAGAAGAAACTTTTCTTTTGCAGTTTAATTTAAGGAATACATGCACGCGCAACATGTTGATGATTGTGGAATACTTACTGACAAACATTCTGAAAACCACCTTAGTTTTTTCCCTCTAGGATTACCAATCAGCTTGTCCACCTCCTGTTTAATATCCCTGGATACTTTACCACATAGCAAGGGAGGAGCACCTGGTTCCACAGCACGATCTAACAACACAAATATTTATGTACACAAACATTTTATTAAAGGTAATCTAACACAAAGCAAATGAAAATAACAGTATGTATAATTTACCTACCAGTATTGCCAATGATCTCATCCCAAGATCTGTCTGCCAGGATATTTATTTGGAGAGGGTTTATCAGAGGTGTTAAAGACCAAAGTCTCACAGTGGAGTCACGAGAACAAGAGGCCATAGTGAATGGACGACTAGGATGGCATGTTAAACCTAATGGAGAGACCATTTTAAACATTATTCAGACAATTACATTTATCTGCTAATTAGTTTTAAGGAAAATATATTATGGACTTTTAAGGTATCACATAAATACATTTTAGCAAAATAAGAATGGAAACATTAACATTTAAAACTATATTACCATATACATCTGCACCATGATCATAAACTGTGTCTAGACAGGTTCCATCTCTTGTGTCCCACACTCGAATTGTATAGTCCCAGCTGCCTGATATTAATAGGTAAGGGATTTCAGTATTCCACATTAGTCCCCGTACTGGTGCTGTATGTCCACTGAGAACATTTATACAAGCATCTTGTGTGTAATCCCATATTCGAACAGTGCTGAAAACAAGACACAAAAAGCATATATCCATCAATATACCAAAACAGGATCACACCTTCAGCAAAATTCTGAAGTTCACATTTCACCTGGAATATTTATTTATCTAGATTTACACACACTGTAATACAAGAGCTTTTATCCAATGCTTTGGGCACCCTATACAATTCGTTAAAAGAACACTAAAATAAAGAGACCTGTCAGTTCAATTCAAATACACCGTGACAGCAAAAATATAACTGAAATTCATAGATTAAAAGATTCCGATAATCTAGTCTGGCCTCCTGTGTAACACAGGTATAGAACTTCCACAAAATAACTGCTAGAGCAGAAATCCCCAAATTGAGGGGTGCACCCCTCTAGAGGAAGCGCAGAAGAACATTCCAGGGAGGGTGTGTGGCGGGGCCCGGGCCAGCCCTCACAGAGAGTGGTGAGGGAGCGCCAACCAGCCCCGCTCCACCCCCAGATCCGTTCCTGGCCCCGGCCCCACCCACGGCCCTGGCTCCTGGCCCCGTGCCCAGCCCCAGCCCTGCACCTGGCCACAGCAGCTGACCCCCACCATGGCCTGGCCACGGCTCTCCTCCCAGCCACAGGCCCCAGCCCCACCACCACCACTAGCCTCAGCCGCTAGCTAGGCTCCGTTCCCGCCCTGGCCCCAGACCCACCCCCAGCTGCGGCCCCAGCCTTGGCCCCCTTACCCCATCCGCCGCCCCCTGCTCCCCCAGAGCCACAGTTCCGCTCCCGGCCCCAGTTTGCGGGGGGGGGGGGGGTGTTGTTATTTGTTATTTCCCATGTGGTAGCAATGGTTTCTGCAGGGTTTTCTGGAACAGTGGAACCCCTCAAACAGCTATGGGGGTGGTAGGAAGCGATTCATGCCTGTATCATTGCTATATTTTCTGTTTAAGAATAATCAAATTAATTTTCTAAATGTCCTTTCATGTACGATAGTTCTAAACATTGGCTAAATCTAATCAGCAACCCCAAGCATAGAGGGTTGTTTTTTTTAAAAAAATAATCAAATAGTTTCTTGAAATGAACATCATATTTCTCTTTTTACAAAAGATTAAAATCTGACAGGCAACGTATCTACTTGCACACTAGCAAAGCCCACTCATGCCAGTGAACATGCAGGGCAGGTATAGCAGCCCTATTTTTGTTTCCCCAAACCTGCAGAGGAAAGATTCTACAAACCCTGCATCACAAAGCAGAACTGACAGTCAGAGGGTGTACTTTGTATATGCATGTAGCTCATGAATTAGAAATGGCCCAAAGGCAATTAGTGACCATCCATACACAGCCTCCTCTCAGAAATCTTATGCAATGTATACATCCACCTGTTTAGGGGAGCATTTGGCATAGTTCCAGAATTTCACTCATGAAATACAGTGTTACCAAATGAGAGAAACAAAAGGCTAACAAATTTTCCAGAATAGTGTAGGACCTAGCTATTCAATTCTCCTGACTTTAGAGTGTGATTGTACTCTGAAAATGACTATGTATTATCTAGGTACTTATATGGCCCCCACCATTACCATAGTCTGAGTGCCTCACAATCTTTCGTGTATTCACAATATCATAGAGTTCCATATTTATTGTCTCTCACTGAATTCATAAAAAGTTTGCAATTTACAAGTAAAAAGATTTTTTTTCTGTCAGCCTTGCAAATGCAACACGAGCTCTCAAAATCAAGTGTTTTTTTTTAATGCATACCAATGAATGCACGGATAGAAAATTTGTATCTGCGTCCAATCCACAAACACGGTCCGCGGATATCCACAGATCTGCAGGGTTCTACCCAGGAGCTCCCCACATGTCCTCCCCGCTCCCAGAGGCCAAGGCCTCCCCACTGCCATCCTAGAGCTATAGTAATCCACAGACCTGCTGTTGAGGAGAGACAGGGACAGGCTCTGATCCTCTGATCTTATGACCCCTCCCAAACATATTTTGGATACCTGTTGGAAAGTGACTGGGAATCACAAAAGAGGTGGTGGTTCTCGCCTGACTACCTTGAGGAGAAGTTTCTTTAACCCCTTTCTGACCCTTTGCTTATTCACAGCTGTCATCAGTAATACCACTGAAGGGGTGGTGTGGCCCCTTCAAAGATCTCCACAGATGATATTCAGTCTATCATACTCTAGATAGTCACACAAGGGAACCTTATTCCCTCCACTCACAGGGTCTTGGATGCAATGTGAGTATGTAGTATCATGCCAATATAGTCCCTAAGTGGTAGGTGGTAGTCACTGACTCCATTATCTGGGTAGGGTATAGAGTGTTGTAGTCATGTATCTGTCACATGGAGGCAGGCATGGAGCCAAGCCAGGATCTGCATTGTGGAGGAGACAGGGCTACAGTTTGGACCTTAAATGTTATTCATAGACACAATGATAGTAATGTTTGTTTGTTTTTTATGGGGCCAGCACCAGTGCAACTTGAGACCTTAAGTCTCTCACAGAATCTAAGAATACACACCCATCATCAGAACCACTGCAGAGGATTCCTTCTCTCAGAGGAGACCACCTTACATGAAACACCTTTGCAGTATGCCCCGTAAAAACCTTCAGTGGCTGATCAGAGCTTGTTGCTAGGTAATAAACACGAACATTTTTATCTTCACATCCAGTGGCTATCATATCTCTGCAAAATGACAACAGTACAATCATCAGCCATTGGAGTCAGTAGAAATGTATTGTTTTCAATTCTAAAAAATACAAATGTAGCACACATTTTAATGTATATCTCAGAAAATTTGACTTGTATTTGCTTTTTTTCATGCTATCTCTTTAACAGTTGAAATTATGCTTCAATATATGATACACAACTACAATCTGTGGGTTAGACCCTCAGCTAGTGTAAATAGGCAAAGCTCCATGAATTTCAATGGAGCTACAAAATTTACACCAGAATCTAGCCCATTATTTTCCAATAAATGTATTGAGTACACAGTAACAACAGAATAATTTTTTGCACCTATCACTAACTCTGCCCGAAGCAAAAATTTGCAAAATAAATGAATAACATGACAGATCTGTTTCCTGTTGTTCTTTTCTCTGCTATTCCTTAAAGCCTGGTTGCCATATTTACAGAACAAGGTTTTAAATAATAACACTGTCTGTATGTGTTGTGCTCAGGATTAGGCTATGTATATAATTATACAATTAAAAAAATGAATAAATGGTAACGGTACTTGAAAAAACAGAATAAATGGAAATGGTATTTGAAAGGAAAGTCAAATAGTGGCAGAAAAATAAGTCACATATCCATTGCTATGTATTTTATTTTTAACCATTTCCTTATGGAAAAGTTATCCAGCTGTGTGCAGTTCTCCCATTATTTCACTGCACCCAATCTGACCTCCCAATTGCTGAACCCCTGAACCTTCCCTTTCCACCCACATCCAGTAGCTATGACTCAATCTCACTTGCACCTGCCAAACTCCCCTGCAGTTTTCTCTCCCCCAATGTGCACTCCGTTTCAGCTCTTGCTGCAAGATTAGTATTAAAAATTCAGCATTGCAATGTAAGTCAACCTCATAACCTCACAAACACAGCAGATCCGATATTATTTTTGCTATTGTATATTGTTAATAAGGTGCTATCATCAGCATAGTATGAGAAAGCACTGTTGTTTAGTATTCTTTTTTTGAAAAAAAATGAAGCGCTTTTTGGAAAGTTTAAAGATCACATTCTAAATTACCTTTTTCTTATATTACGAGTTAAAATAAGTTAGCCTACATGATGGTATTTGTGTTTGCCTTTTCTAAGCAAATATTTTTGATCATATTAAAATACAGATAGCAAAGACTAGGAGGGAGAAAATTATCCACAACACAGACTGTAGGCACCTTTTAAAACCCAGTCTTCCAGGGTTCTTAAAATCACCTCTTTGTGTAAGGTGAGGTCTGTCCTATGGTAGAGAGGAACAGAACTGAGGAGTTTGACATGAATGGACCATAGGGAGGAAAGGAAATTAAGTGGCTTGCTATTGCCACATGAAGGGGCCAGAAAGAATTAGACACTTCTGTTTCCCTGCTAAGACAAGCTGGACCACCATCACAACAAGCTATAAGGAACAGGGGAAAAGCCGCAGCTAAATTAGCCACACTGAAGTTTCTATGGGGAAGAGGCAACTCTGCTTCCTATATATGCAGCTTCTCACAAATATTAGAAAAATTATTCCCCCAAAGCCAAATATTAAAATTTTGACCAATATTTATGGAAACACTTGTTCAAAGTCTATATTTTTGCAAAAAAATATGCAATCTTGGGTTTCCAAATAGATTTTTTTTAGTTGTATGCACTCAGGAAAGACTATGCAGATTTTGTGCTCTTTGTTCCTTTTGTAACCAATTTACACCATTCTTGAATTTACACACTACAAATGCTCTAACTTTTTGTAATTATTCTCATGGAATATATTTTATTATATTTTTTTTAGTATCAGTGTTGCTAAATTAAATATAATAATTTATGTCTCTGCAAGTCAGTTGCATCACTGACACAGTGCATCAATTTTTTTTTTAATTTAGCTATACTGAGGGTATGTCTATGCAGCAACTGGAAGGGTACTTCCCAGTGTGGGTAGACAGGCTTGCACTAGTTCAAGCTGATGTGTATACCTTCCTGTGCTGGGACGCATCCCTCCAGCTGCTGTGTAGACATACCATCAAGGCTTCCCATTTATTCCTCACATTCTTTCTGATTACTTCAAATGGGAAACCTGTTGAACGTTTATTAATTTAGTTTGAAGAACTGGAACTCTCGTGTCTAGAAGTACAATTGTTCTAATTTATGGATGTAAAATACTAAGATGACCCATTTCTAAATTATTTGCTCAATTGGGACATCAATTAAGGTTTTATTTTAAAATGAAGCATATGAAAATACATGATGTAAATTTTAAATAAGTAAGTAAGTAAGTAAGTAAATGGTTCCACTGTGCCTGAACATTCTCATGTACTCCCTGGCCACACCTCCTTTTGTCTCTCCACAGCTAGAGTGTATACGCAGCGGGAACTAGGCCTGCCTGATCATAATACTTTTTTTTTTCAGCCAAGAGAAGAAGCCAAATCTGCTAAGCTTCAGTGGCATATGATTTCATATGTCCAGGGGCGGCTCTATGTTTTTTGCTGCCCCAAGCACGGCAGGCAGGCGGCTTTCGGCGGCGCACCTGCGGGTGGTCCGCTGGTCACGCGGATTCGGCGGCATGCCTGCGGGAGGTCCGTCGGTGCCGCACCATCGGTGTCCCCGCCGCCGAATTGCCACTGAAGCCGAGGGACTGGCGGACCTCCCGCAGGTGCGCCGCTGAAAGCCGCCTGCCTGCTGCCCTCACAGCTACTGGCAGGCCGCCTCCCATGGCTTCCCGCCCCAGGCACGTGCTTGCTGCACTGGTGCCTGGAGCCGCCCCTGCATATGTCAGCATACCGTTTTTCCTATGAAGCACGACCAAATGGTTAATTTGAGCTTTTCCCCAAAAAAAATCACAGCCTTGAAGACTCTCCTCTTCTGGAAGCCAAGCCACTGGTCCCTGTCCCCCTCTGCCTTCCGTTGCACCCAAAATTAGACTTACAGTGCAGTTCTACTCTGAAAAATGACTCATAAATATGGCACTGAGTCTCTCACTGACTTCCATGCACCTAGCCCTGCAGATACACTCAGAGCGAAGTGGAGTTCTTTTCTTCTCATACATCATCACCAGTAACACAAGATCTACAGGCCAAACACTGTCCTTTACACCTGTATCATCCCCACTGCCTTCAATGAGGGCAGAATATTTGGCCTGCAGATTTTGTATTACTGGTGACGCTGCATAAGGAAAAGAATTTGAAGTGATCCTCAGCGCCCAGATTGATGTTTAATGATATTTTTACAGTCATATTATTAGGACAGAACTGCACATCAAGGATGGCAGTGCAGCTCATGTTAAATAATAATGTCTGTAAATAAGGAAGAGTAAACTGGCCTTTTACAGTATGGTCCCAGGATTCTCTGCCTTTATAAAACTAGGTCAATACACTGATATCACATTTTAAAATACCTTTGCATTATCTTTATGGTCATTCATTTAAGTTATAAATGTTGTTAGTTAATTAGTTCAATTAACTATTACTCACTTGTTGTTTTGGCTCCAATCACAACCAAAAACTGCAGCTGGATGTTTGTACTTGTGAAGAACTTTGCCATCAATGGTTCGAATAATACTGAAATCAATTACAATATGGTAATAAGAAAAAAAACCCAACATACTCAGTAGGACAATCCAGGTCAAAACTGATTTTATGTGCACCTATAATCAACATAAGGAGTCAGATTGCAGAAGTGCACAAGTGAAGGAAGAACAAAAGAAACCTTTCCATCCTTGCAGCCCCCACAAAGGTCACAGTTATAGTCCTTGTGCTTCCCCAAATACAAGGGCTGGTTAGAGGTAGTATACCTTTCCATAGAGGCATAGAATCACAGAACCATAGGGTTAGAAGGGACCACAACGACGGGGTGAAAGTAAAATTGAACTCTTACCAGTGTGGGGGTCAGCTCCGGGGGTCCCCTGCCCCCAGAAGGAGCAGGGCCTTGGGCAGAAGGGGAAGGGCTGGGGGTCAGCGTCCCCCAGCAAGCCCATCCGCGTTGCTGGCCCCGCGCTGCCCGGGGCTCCAGCGGGGATTTAAAGGGCCCGGGGCTCTGACCACTGCTGCCGTGGCCGGAGCCCTGCTCCCTTTTAAATTGCCGGGCACAGGGCAGCTGCTCCTTTTGCCTCCCCCCTGTCGACAGCCAGGGGGGTGGCAAAAGGGGCAACAACATTAAGCAGGGTCCTTAAAGCACTGTCGCAGCAGCGCTTTAAAGTCAGCAGTATGGGCTGGTACCGGCGGCCCGTACCGCCTTACTTTCACCCCTGCACAAGGGTCATCTAATCTAACACCCTACCAACATGCAGGATTTGTTGTGTCCAAACGATCCAAGACAGATGGCTATCCAGCCTCTTTTTGAAAACTTCCAGTGAAGGAGCTTCCATGACTTCCCTAGGCAAGTGTGACATGAACCAACTGTGCCACAAACATTAAGTAAATGGTTCCAGTGTGCCTGAACATCCTCATGTACTCCCTGGCCACCCCTCCTTTTGTCTCTCCACAGCTAAAGTGTATACACAGCAGGAACTAGAGTTCCATACCTACGCCTGCCTGATCATAATGCAAGCAGTAGCGCACATACCACTAATAGGAAACAATACTGCATTTTTGTTAGCAAATGGCATAATATATTGTGACAGACCCAGACCAGTGGGGTACAGGAGTCTGGTAGAGGGCAAATATACTGGTCCACTGGATGAGTAGTTTTCTGTTCCCTGAGTGACCAGAGCAGGGGCTGCACTAGAGACCCACCAAGATAGAGGAGGAACTTTGTCACAATATGCATATGTTGCTACTGTGTTGTCTGCTGTTGATGTAGTGCTATGTAACTTTATATTAATATATATAAGCAGAACACATCCAATGGTTATTTATGCCAAGATCTTAAACATTAAAAATATGGTGCTATCAAAGTTCACCTGCCCAAATAGCAGATTATTTTTCAACATGACACTCACCAGAATCCATCACCACTGCAGGTCGCTATTCTTTTGGAATCTTTATGACTCCAGGCAATGCAGAAGATTCCATTCTTTCCATGCTTCAAAAAAATGCAAAATACCTATCAATAAGAAATAATTCACCCCTTTTTCCTCTTAATTACTGACTTCTCTGTGGTTTTGCTAGTAGGATTCATTCCCATTTCCCTAAGTACAGTACATACACTGCACTTTTACACAATAATGAGGCCCTAGCCTTGTTGGGCCATGTAGGGTATGTGACCAGGAAAAAGGGAGTGTGGCTGGAGTGCCATTGTACTCCAGTGACCCCCAGATACTCCAAACTATGCTGCAGGCAGGCCTGGTCCAGAACCATCAACAGGATCAGAGAGTCTCAACTGCAGAGTGAGCACTTTGTGTCTATATGAACTTGGATGAGGGTTAGCTGGCTGCTGGGTACTTAACTTGGACAAGGTTGAGAAAGTTAGTGGGCTGTGTGAAGCAGCTAGAAAAGTTGGTGGAATATATATCAACACCACTCACTGAGGAAAGGTAACTTGTAACACAGGTGTGCACATTAGGCGTGTTTTTAGATCTTGGGCTGCTTCTGGATGCCCAAGTGGCATCTGTGGTCAAGAACGTTATTTTTCCATCTATGACTGCTGAGAAGAAGCCCCTTTTCTCTCTCTGATGCAGAGTTTACCACAGTTATCCATGTCTTTGTCACCTCCAGATTAGATTGCTGTAAGGCAGTCTACATGGGGCTACACATTGAGACCACTTGAAAACTGAAGTTAGTGCAGAATGGTGCAACCAGCTTATTAAACAGAGCTTTATGCCAGGAGCAGATTACATCAGTGCTCCAGGACCTGTACTGACCACCACTAAGATTCCAGGTAATGCAAGCCCATAAGAGGGGCACTTAATACAGATTTTTATAAGTCTAAATCAATAATTAAATAACAGTGCATTGCTAATGCAGCACTGTCATTCTGGAGTGAGACCTCAGGACTATAAATTAAACGAGTTTTATATCTGGTAGCAATAATCACTGCTACATTATATTTTGATATATTTTTGAATCTGAAGATTAATAGAATAGAGTAGAATAGAATAGAATGCGTGTGCTTTTGAGAGGAAATATTCCACTTTGCTTTTGGATCCTCTGTTAGTCAACTAGTAAAGCAATGATATTGAAGTGATGGATCCAAGCATGTCACAAAACCAACTTAAGGAAGTGAGTCGTACCTGTTCCAGAGCTCAGACTGGGTGTAATCAATTTGGCTATATTTTTAAGTTAAGTTACATACCTCTTTAAAACATACAAACACTGATCCAGCTTTATCTACAACAGCACTAGAGGGAGCCACGAGCTTACATTTAAGAAACCAAGCAAAATAAACTCATCTCACCTCACTGAACCGGGTTACCATTTTGCCTCTAGGGACATCCCAGATAAAACCACCATTCCTGGAGGTTGCACCAGCTATGCAGTTCAAATCCCCTTGGAGGAACAGACATTAGAGACACATTATAATGAGTACAATGTCAGTGTTATTTTTACATATATAATTTTCCATTTTAATTAAAGAAATACATAACCATATGATAGCAAAGGCAGATTAGCAATGTAGCCTCACAATCGGAGCCCAAATTTTGCAGGGGACTTGACACTAGTTCACAAGCAGCAGTTCCAACAAAAGCCTTATGTGTTCTACCCTCCTACTCTAGGCACCGCTGTGCAAGGTAGACACTGACTGGTTGCAAACATGAGCTGAAGTCCCATCCCAACCCCATGAACTGAATGCAGAGAGAGGACAAGATGTACCAACTGACAGCACTTTGTTGTCCACAGGCTTTCTTTGAAACTATAAATGCCCCACAATGTCTAGTGCTTAAAGCTCAAAGCATCTGCAGAAAATTATGTAGTTTCATTTTAAACCTGTCTGAACAGCAGAACACAGCAGAAAAAGTGCTCTCTCTCTCTCATAGTTGGGCACACATAGGACAGATGTGAGGACACTTGAGCAATCACTTTTCTTTTTAAATTACTTCCAGTCTTGGACCATCAGATTCCACTACTATCTATCCCTATAGGCCCCCATCACTGTAATACCTGAGTACTTCAAACACATTTGTGAATTCATCTTCACAGTACTCCTATGATGTAGGGCAATCATTATTGTATACATTCTACAATGGGAACTAAGACACAGAAACACAAGACTCCACTTTCTCATCACTGTGACTCAATCCCAGAACAGAAACTGGTGCTGTTAACCAGGCACGTCTCATACAGAAAACACTCATATGGTGCAGAAACAATGAATTTTGGATTATACTTCAGGGACTAAGAGGAGAAAATCTGGAGAGGGACCCAGGGGAGCAGAAAAGATATTCAAGTAGGTGGAGTTATGGAGGAGGGGAAAGAGAAATCAGTATGTTCAAAGTTCTTTCTCCAGATCAAATCCAAATGTTGGCAAATATTGTACGTGTGGGAACTAATGCATTTGGTGGATGATGCAAGTCAAAAAGTGGAAAGGGATCAACATTTTCTCTTTCAGATAAAGTTATTTATTTCCCACAAATCAAATTACAAATATATTTCTGTTGTATGTTATTTGTATTTGATGATGACATATCTCCTAGTACTACTAAAGCAGGGCATAAAGAAAAGAATGGGGGATTCCAGTCACCCTTGTGACAGGTTTCAGAGTGGTAGCCGTGTTAGTCTGTATCAGCAAAAACAATGAGGAGTCCTTGTGGCACCTTAGAGACTAACACATTTATTTGTGTAAAGGTGAAGGAGTGGTTGGCATGACCTAAGCAGTAACTGCTGCAGATTTGAGGCTGTTGTTGTAATTACAGAAGAGCTCTGCTGTTGCTCTATTGGATAGGGAAAAATTCATCCTCCTGTCCCCTGGAAGACTCTCCAGCAGCAGGCATAGCTACGTGGACATGATATTTTGAGGAAGATTCCTCCAAAGGGCCCTTTTCAGCACTTTGGCAAAACTGACACTGTAGTCTATGGGAGTTTTGCCTAAGTTAGAAGCTCTGAATAGCACCCTTAGTTGGGCTTGGGGACACATCTTCCAGAGTATGACTAAGATCAACAGTTGCTGGTAGGTAGCCTCTCCCCTTCAGACCCACAATGAATACATGAAGAAAGTCCTTGCACAGGTTTCTCAAATCCTGCCTCCACTCCAGTGAAGCAAAACTGCCTTGGTTCTGGTGCAGTCAGGGCCTTTTACAAATAGATGCTGAGGAGAGGGAAGGATTTTTCCTTAGGGATGGACAGCTCCAGAGAAGAGCATGTACATTCCAGCTTGCCAACTTGAGAATTACATGAGCGTTTACTTGAATTCATCAGATCAACTGCATTTTGTGCAGAAAATTTCAATAATCATATAATAATATTTATGCCTAAAATCAAATATGCTCACCTGGAGCCCAAGAAAGAGAATAAATGACCCCCTCATTCCCAGGAGAGGTGTAGACTGCTGTTAAAGTGTTTATATCCCAAACTTTTATTGTCCCATCAAATGATGCTGTAGCTAGAAGGTCAGGGTTATCAGGTTTGAATTTACAGTCAAAGATGGTTTCAACATGTCCCTAAAATGGCAGAATAAAAAAATGAATACTAGTACATTAAAGATTTTTCTCACATGAACACAGTTGATTTAATTGCTAAGCTAACCCTATTTTCTGTAGTTTTAACTCTTTACTGTAGTTCTCTAACATCTTTACATCTATATTAACATTTTATATTAATATTTTAGCATGCAATTTAGAGATTTACATAGTGCCTTAAACCAGTGGTTCTCAACCTGAGGTACATGTACCCCATGGGGTACACAGAGGTCTTCCAGGGGGTACATCAACTCATCTAGATATTTATCTGGTTTTACAACAAGCTACATAAAAAGCACTGGTGAAATCAGTACAAACTAAAATTTCATACAGACAATGACTTGTTCATACTGTTCCATATACTATACACTGAAATGTATGTATAATATTTATATTCCAATTGATTTATTTTATAATTCTATAGTAAAAATGAGAAAGTGAGCAATTTCTCAGTAATAGTGTTCTGTGACACTTTTGTATTTTTACGTCATTTTGTAAGCAAGTAGTTTTTAAGTGAGGTGAAACTTGGGGTACACAAGACAAATTAGACTCCTGAAAGGGGTACAGTGGTCTTGAAAGGTTGAGAGCTAATTCTTTAAATTGCCACTTTTTTTATTTCTAGATTTAAAAAAAATGCTTAACCAATTTTCACCATTATATTTTCTTTTAGAAGTCTTACCACAAAGCAAATGAATTGCTGAGTTTTAAGTAACTGAAAACTATGTGAGTGAAAAATATAATGGAAAAAGGCAATGATCCTTCATTTGAATGCAACACTAAAATAAAACCTACCAAGCCAACTACAGGCTCCAACAGAACCATACTTTTCAGCTAATCAGTTAATAGTAAAAGGTGTAATAAGCATCTGGATCTCTCCTCTCTCTCTTCTTCCAAAGGATTAAAAAACCCCAGCAAAATAGAATATGCCATAGGCCAAATTCTGCTCCAAGCAGCACCTGTGCACACTCTGGGGAAATTAACACTGCCAACCCCCTGTAGAGTTGCACAGGTGTAAATGAGCAGAATTTGGCTCCGTGCGTCAGTCACTATGACTGAAGTGTTATTAATTGGGCTGTACCTAAATGCAAAGTCATTTCTATTTCAAAATTCAATTTTCTTATATTTTTCCTGTGAGACCTTATATTCCAAATGTGTTTGTTTTATGCCTTATGGTGAAATAATGACCCTTTTTGGAAAACAAGTATGTGAAACTGACATGAAAGTTCTAAGGTACAATTCTCAGTGGCTGGCCACCTTTTGCTCTTGCGAAAGTGGACTTATTTTTTCACAAGTAGTAGAGAAAGTTCTAAAGCATTCTTTTCAAACCCTGATTTTGTTTTCAAACATAATGTCTGTTTCCATAAAAGTGGAAATAAACAAACTGGCTGCTTGCAGATGAAATCGAGTTCTAATAGTTTCTTTCCTGGTTTCCTATTTCTGCTTCCATTTTCATGGACCTGGATGGATGCTGGCGTCATACTTACTGTAAGCATCCATATATTTAAACAAGTGTTTGTTTAATAAACTATATTTCATTTTCTTCATTTATAAACATTAAAAACATTTTTAACAGAATCAGTAACACTAAGTGGTGGAGTTCTACCAAACTCCTGGAATATCTCCAGTGGTGGAGGAGCTAAGGTATACTCAGTTAATGTCAGTTTATTTCTAATACACCAGACGTGTAATTCTCCACCAGTGGCGTAACATAATCCAGGATTAGATGACCTGGTAGTAAAAATGCCTGTGCCTTATCTATCCTACAGCTTCCAAGGTTGCTACCAAAGGAGCTGCATCAGTAGAGAATTACATTTCTGAATTTTCCCAGTGGAAATACACCCTCAGTGTAACCAACATTTTGCTGCATGAAACGGCTTTGCTAATTCTAATTCTTGCCTGATCATTGAAAAAAGACATTATGAAGTAATGTTAGTAGTTTTACATTTTTGTGTTACTTTCTATTTCTCTATGACATTTTCATAGGCTTGCTCATAGTGCTTACTCAGACAAAACTCACTGGTTTCACTTAACGCTTTGCTTGCATATGGACTGCAGGATCACACTATGAGATGTTTGAAAACAATATTTATTTGCCTGCTTTGCTTAGGGTTTTTCAGTTGAGTAGATTGTTTTTTCCTCAATACTCCTTTTTAGTTTTTTACTTAAATCCAACATGACACTGCATTTTTTACCTCCTTGTTTATTAAAAGCATCATCAGTGAACTCATCAGCACTATTTTCTGCATGTGCTGGCTGGATAATTGACATGCAGCATAAAAAGGGTCACACAACTATTATACTCCTTCTCTTCATCCATTATTGAAAGAGTAATACTTTTTTTTTTGGTGAGGTGGGAGAGGAGGGGAGATGGGAAGAGTTAAACTGATATTTAAAATATGAAGTATCTCCCTCACTAAATAATATTAGTTTTACGGTAGTTCAAATTTGGGTCCTACATTATTTGGCAGTCTTCCTTTGTAGTGAAGAATTAAGTTCAACATTCTAGAGCTGTTATATAAAGTTTCTAAATCTTCAGCCCCTTTTTATTTATGAATCTGATTTGCCTGCACACTACACTGTAGGCTCTATGCTCACTCCTTGATTATTGTGCATAAAAATGCTGTATATATGTTAATTATTATTTCATTCAAAATATTGGACAGGCAAAGGAGACATACCAAATCTCTAAGGAAATCCCATTTCTTGGCTCCCATGTCATAAAGTCCCACTCCACCATCCATAAAACAGCAGACAGCATGGCCAGGAGGAAGAGAGAATGCTTGGTTTTGGGTTAGAGTTGGGGGTGGAACGGCCTCACTGGTAGATGATGTATGATGATTTTTAGTAGGAGAATGTGATGAAAGTGCTTAATAAAAAAATATAAACATATTAACATATTTTGTTTTTTTCATATTTAAAAACAAGCAGCAGTTACATCACTTCACGTCAGGGATTGTAAAATTCATTTGCCTATTTGATGCTGACAAGGAGGAAGGTTTCCATGGTGAGAGGGTGGGCCTGAGCGTATCTGATATTGTGTGTCTCCCAATAAATCCTTCTAAACATCAACAGGGGAGCAGAGAAATCCCTTAGAAAAATATTCAAGAAACTTTTAAAAAATAACAGGTTATACCATTTAAAGGGTGCTGTGTCAGAATCCACAATTTTTGAAAATTAGTCTTCTTCAAAAAATTCAAGTTGATAGTGTCCCTCAAAATATCAAGCTAACAGTAACAAAAGTGACAGGAATTGATACTGGTAGTAGAAAAATGGTGGCTGATGTAAAACAGAAGAACAGAAGTTAAATAAGACCAATATTATCATCTTTATTATTTGTTTTTGGAAATGCCCAAGATGTGCTAAGTGCTCTACAGACATTCAAGAAGGGATGGTCCCCTTCCTGAATGAAGTTCATAGTCTAAGGAAAAACAAACAGGTAGAAAGAGGTTAGAGGAACCAGGAACAACAAGATAATTAGATTCATTATCTGTAGTAGGGCAGAAGTGGGTCTCTAAAAGGAACTTAAATATGGATCTATGCCTTGGTAACTTGGAAGCTGTACAATGCATAGAGGTTGCATAGAAAAAGACAGGGAGATGAATATGGGACAAGTTGATAAATAGGCAGATGAGAGTGGGAAAGTCGACAGTGTAGAGGGGACAGGAACAATGTGTGCTGAATAAGGGAGGATAAGTATATGCAGCTTTGAAGGTGGAGGTAAGAAGCTTAAATTTGATGCAACATTCTCAAAATACTGTCTCTAGGCTGATGAAAGAATGCAAAAATGTGTTCTAGTAAGTTTGAAGAATTCATAGAATAAAAGTGAGAAAGTGGATGATATGCTAATAGGTAACCTTCCCTTTCAGTCTCTCTTTTTCATGGTAAGAGATTATGTGGTCAACAAAATGTCTTTTCTGATTTTTATACTATTAAACTATTAAGGCCTAGAGAACCGGAATCAATACACAACGTGCATTACACATCTTTACATGTATGCAGTGTTGTTGTACCCATGTTGGTCCCAGGTTATTAGACAGACAAGGTGGGTGAGATAATATCTATTATTAGACCAACATCTGTTGGTGTGAGTGACAAGATTTGAAGCTTCCAGACAGCGTCATGTGTGACCAGACAAAGATCTCTGTATAAGCTCAAAAGCTTGTCGCTCTCAGTAACAGAAATTGGTCCAATAAAAGATATTATCTCACCAAGCTTGCCTTACCTTGTTTACCGTGTAAAGCTATTCTAAGGGCCTACAAGCTTTGCATATTGTTATGAGGTATCTGTTATAAAAAGAGAATGTATATGGTACTTCACTGGGGTTGGGAGCAAGACTGTAGTATTCCTACATGAGGGACTGCCTAATAAGGAAGAACTTAACAAAAGGTTTGATCTGATAGCACTTAGTCCGCCCAAAAATGCATTGGTGTCAAAAACTTGCAACCACTGCACTGAATTACAATAATAAAATATATACTTACACTTTTTCTTTGGAGGAGAATTGAGCACATGTAAACCATGGAACCCTGTTTTCTTCAATTTAAAATTATCTATAGGTGTTGTGCGTGAAACATTCCAAATACGTAACACTCCAACCTGAGAATCTGAGATTTAAAAAAAAGCTCCATTTATTAATGTTTTTTCTACATAAACAATGTACATAATTTAAGTATCAAATTAATCAAAAAGTGAAACATTGAATTAAATGTATAATCTTAAAATAATGTTACAAGCAGGCTTTTACATCTTCACAATAATGTTACTTTAAATTAGAGATGTTCATTCTTCGAGTACAGTGGGTAAACCTATCAACAACAGCATAAAATATTCTCTCATTCACCCTTCCTCTCTCTCTACTACTCCAACAATTCAACCATAATTTCCTCTTCGCTCTCTGGTTCAGAAAAGAGAAAGGATTGGAACAAGTGAGCTCCAAAAACAACAGAAATGGAAGCGGGGGAGTGGGGAATGGCTTGCTTGCTTATGCCCATCCCCCAGCCAATTGTAATCCATGCTGATAAACTCATGGCAAAACTGTTTGCATCTGTTTTATGCATTCATTTTTTCTAGAATACGTTAAAATATTTCTGTTTCTATTGATATTAAAGTCAAAGGTATAGAAAAGATTAAACATGAAGTACAGTACCTATTTTGGAGATTCAATGCTATATTTATAACCATTCAATAAACTATCAACAATAAGAAAAGATTACCTCCAGTAATAAACATTCCAGGAGCACTAGGAACCCAGGCTAAGCACTGAACTGATGCTGCTGCACTAGGAAAATTAAATGCTGTGATACAGCAGAGAGACTCAGAATCAACTAGTCGAATGCCATTATGTAAATTAGCAACAAGAAGATAGTCAGTCGACAGAGGGTCCCATTCCAGGGCTGTCACTGGATCCTCCTCGTCTGTCCCTTCAAGAGACTCTGGTCTTAGGACATGTTTCTGACTCTTAGAACCTTTAAAAGCAAAAGGAAACAGACCACCTTAAATTAGATATAATGTGTATCAATTACAGTGATTTATGCATAGTTTTGTTATGTCTGCTTAGGCTGGCAAACAATCCGTATTTCCCCCCAACACACTCTGTAGCTTCTTCCACAGGCTGTACTAGTGAAGCCAGCAAAGCTCATCCTCTGCTGCACTTACTAACAAAGGTCTGACTAAAGCAGACATTTCCACTGCTTCCTTTTTATCTTAATAATAGAAAAAAATAGAGTGAAAATGGTTGTTCATGTTTACAGGTTTAGATCCTGCAAACCCTTATTCATGGGTTCGCAGCATCAGGCCCCAGATGCAAGCTGGTTTTAGGTAAATACATCTGCACAAACAAAATAAAATAAGAGCAAAGAAAAGAAGAGTGATATAAACGAGGAGAAAGACAGTGATAATGAGTCAGAGTAATCAATGTAATAACTTATTTTTTCAAATGTAAATGGACAATTGTTTTTGTTACATCATTTGTTCAAATTCAGGAGTGGATAAATAACAAATAGAGTCTGAGTATGATACCAGAAGGGACCCTTACATCATCTAGACTGACATCCAGTATATATCAGCACATCAAACATCACTCAGCTGCCCCAGCAGTGAGCCCAGTAACTTGTGTTATGATCATCATTACCCAATATTATGGAAAGCTAGCACTGATTTTTGATATTACAAAAAACAATCCCACTCACAGATAACACAAATCTTTGTTTTTTAAAGCGATGGTGTTCTATTCAAAATAAATAAATGAACATGCTGTGCTAGTTCCCTAGAAACAATGAATTAATTAATTATCTCTAAATTTATTCAGCTTTTATCTACTTTTGAATTTTGACAACTAGGAATGCCATTAATTTGTCACATTTTGACAAATATTAAAAGCTATCTGTTATCCCTCTGATGGATTTCATTTAATCATTGACGTAGAACAGAAACAAAAACTACTTCAGTTAGCATTAAAAAACTGAATCAAAAATCTGCTCACTGGGGAACATTTTTCTTTGAGTATTAAAATAATTCACACTATAATTTGGTAGGTGTGTTTGCTTACAGATGTATGGTACTTATGGTACGGTAGAATTAAACACCACCTGTTGCTGCTGCTGTTGGGGCAAATAATACACATCAGACTGGATAACAGTGAATAGGAGCATAAATTGATATACATTTCTGTTAGTTTGTCTCAGGCCCATAGCTAGCACATTGACATGGGGTAGAGGACTGCATGACAAGAGGTGCTGTTGTGCTTGCCTTCAAAAGTTCATGTACTTAGCGAAAACCATAGTCTCAGTCAGAGGCTTTTCTTTTTTACTTTATTTTTATGAAATAAGGAAAAATAAGATACATATTTATATGATTGTTCAGTATAACAAATATTCCAACATTCAAAGATTCAGAAATATAAAAGTATAGATCTTAACATGAAAGTGGGGTGTAACAAAGATTGTTCATGAAACTAAAGTTGAAATCTCCTTGGATAATGGCATCTAAATTCTTCCACAAAGGCATTCAGGTTCAGTTCTTCAGTCAAATCACTTTCCTACAACAGGAGAATTAGGTTTCTCTTTCTGTCATGGGTGGTGCTCAGCCCTGGGTGTGATAAAATTCTTTTCAAACAAGAAAAGGAATTTTCACAAACTCAAGACCACTATAGACAATTCAATTCAAATACAGAATTCTCAAGACCACTATAGACATTTCAAAAATAGACGGGAAAGCCTTCTTTAATTCATTGGCAGCACCTAGAACTTCTTAAAATCCCTTGCAATTTCTCTCTTCTATCAGTGGTTTAAATACAGCCATTTCAACTGTCACCTTCTCAGTATCTAATCCAAGCAAGTCAATCAAAACACTCGGTGATTCCAATTTCAAGACATCTGGAGAGCTGGTGAAATAGATTGCTGGCAAGCTTTTGTATAACTCGGAATTCTTCTCATAAAATCTCTTTTGCAATTCACCACTGGTTTCATCAATCGATTTTTGACAAATTTGGGACCTTTGATGCTCATTTACACTTTGCAATTCTGGTAAGTACTCAGTGACCATGGAATCTTGAAATTTTGGGGCCAATACCATGGCTCTTTTGGTGGCACATCTTAATGTTGATGCTTCATCACACACATCTTTCACAACACGGTACTTGGATCGAATGTCTGGGAAAAAGTTTTCAAACATCTCTCTTTTGTTGAAGTTCTTCACAGGCAATAGTAATCAATTAAACTCCTTTAGCAGGGTGCATTACTTCCTTCTGAAACTAATTGTTCACACAAGCAAAAACTTTCAAAATCATTCTCATAACCTCAACTAAGAACAAGAATTTGAGTGATTGTGTAACTTCCAACATCCCTCTTGCACTATATTCATTCACAAAGTCTAACGAATACTCTGAATCTCTTCCAAATTACTATGAATTATTTCTGCGGTTTTCAGGTGACCAGTCCATCTTGTTTCTATAAGTCTTTGCAGGTGCTAGCCTTTATACAGAGCACTAATTTCATGCCTGCGAAAAAAACTGTATAGAAAAATACAATTTGAGAACAAACCTGCCACTGCTGAGTTCCTGTCAGATACGGGAGACCACCAGATGTAGTTGGTTATTCAAGCAGTGTGTGTATTTGCTTGTTTAATCTCTCTTGTAAAAGGATTTGTAAACACCTCCTTTGCACTTTGACATCATCAAAGCAAGAATAAAGTATTTTGAGGGTCAAGACAGCTCATGGAGGTGTCAAGGCTGTATCCCCACTTTGAACTTTAGGGTACAAATGTAAGGGCCTGCATGAGGGCTTCTAAGCTTAACTACCAGCTTAGTTCTGGTCCGCTGCCACCATTCCCTACCCTGGGAAGCTTTTAGAAACCTCTCACCAATTCCCTGGTGAATACAGATCCAAACCCCCTTGGATCTTAAAACAAGGAGAATTTGACCCTTCCCCCCCTCCTTCCTTTCACCAACTCCTGGTGAATACAGATCCAAACCCCCTTGGATCTTAAAACAAGGAGAAATCAATCAGGTTCTTAAAAAGAAGGCTTTTAATTAAAGAAAAAGGTAAAAATCATCTCTGTAAAATCAGTATGGAAAATAAGTTTACAGGGTAATCAAACTTAAAGAGCTCAGAGGACCCCCCCCCCCCGTCTTAGGTTCAAAGTACAGCAAACAAAGATAAACACTCTGGTAAAAGGTACATTTACAAGTTGAGAAAACAAAGTAAAACTAAGACGCCTTGCCTGGCTTTTTTACTTACAAGTTTGAAATAAGAGAGACTTGTTTAGAAAGATGGGGAGAACCTGGATTGATGTCTGGTGCCTCTCAGTCCCAAGAGCGAACAACCCCTTAAAACAAAGAGCACACACAAAAGCCTTCCCTCCCCCCGCAAGATTTGAAAGTATCTTGTCCCCTTATTGGTCCTTTGGGTCAGGTGTCAGCCAGGTTACCCGAGCTTCTTAACCCTTTACAGGTAAAAGGATTTTGGAGTCTCTGGCCAGGAGGGATTTTAGTACTGTACACAGGAGAGCTGTTACCCTTCCCTTTATAGTTATGACAGGAGGTCTTTCAAAATCTGTTGTGTAACATCTTCAGCAGTGAGGCCATGCTATTGGGCCACTCCAATAAGTCTCTTTTTGGCTTTGAAATCAACATAGTAGTGTAAAACAGTGGACACGTTTCCTACATTCACAGCAGCCTTTGTAGTGTCACAGTTCAGGCAGAAGAACTTAACATCACTATTTTTTCTGAATAGCTTCAACAATATCTTTCAAAACCATCTTCATTATATCAGTTATTTCATTCTGAATTTCATCAGAAGTGTACTTTGCATTTTTTGGAATGGTTTTCAGAGCATCTTTGAATTTTGGATCTTGTCCTACAGTAAACTTAAGTAGGTTGATGAAAATTCCTGATGAGTTGTTCAGAGTAAGATCTATGTCCTTGATGTTTATTATATCTTGATCCCTCAGAGGCAACTCATTTATCACAGCAAACTGATTAATTTTTGTGAAGGTTTTAAATAGTATCTGTTTCTTTCAATTTGTGAGGATGACACCAAAGCAGCAATTGTGGCATCTGAAAAAGGAAGTTATGATAAAATAAATATCAGATTCATAAATCATTAATGATATTGAGCAAATTAATAAACTGAAATCATAAAAATAATAATTTTTTTGTATGCTGGATCTACCACATCAAGTTTTGGAGTTTTCCTCAAGTTAAGGGATTTAAAGTTTATAGGTGCTAAAGAGTAGGCTTTAGGATACGTCAAGGATGTGGAGTTATATGCATGATTTTGTGCAGGATTTGGGTCTAGACCCATGATTTGACACTACTTGATTTGTGAATCTCAGCAGAATGACATGAAAATATAAATGTGAAATGTAGAAATAGCAAAAAATTACCTGTAGCTTCTCTTGTCCTTGTTGCAGTCCCATCAGCCATTGTATTCAAGTGGACTAAGCATTTCTCATGTTTGATTAAACCTTTGCCTTGATAAAGTGCATTTTTCCAATTGCAGAATCCAGATTTGATAAAAACCATATCAGTTCCCATTCCACCAGCATTGCTAGGGTGTGCATACACCCACCAAGGAAAACAAAATGGACTTATCAGTTTTAACAGAATATTCCAAACATGCAGAAGTGACGTGTGGGGGAAGCACGCTGGGTAACATGCCCCCTCCCTGATTTTTTGGTTTCACCCTCGAATCCAGACTGGGTGGCCTGCTGAGATGACTCAGGGGGTGGAGGTGGTGCTCCTTCCTCAAGCCCCAGTGCACAGGGCTGGCCTGAGCCACCTGGTGTCACCACTTGCCCCCCCCCAATGTCCCTCTGCTCCCCCCCCCCAGGGGGCATGCCCCACAGTTTGAAAACCTCTGTGGGGTGGTCACGTACCCTCCCAGAACCTTTAAATTATGTCCCCTCCCCCCCATCAACAGTTATGCATCGCCTCTGCAATCATGGCCAGCTCATGCACCACTTTTCATTAAAACAACTCAGCACACCTCCAATATTTATTTTAGGAAAATTAATTTCAATTGAGCTATTTTGAGAGTTCCAAGATCTCATGGATCATTCTTGTATATAACCTTATTATGTTTTGTATTATCTTCTGAAGTAGATGGTGAGCTTGGTCGAGTCTATCTCTTTATGAGATGGACGAATCATAAATTTGTCCATTTTGAAAACTATCTGTAGCTATTCCACCATGTACAGAAAGGGCCTGGGTCTGTAGGTCAGTGTGGTGTTGACCTGGGGTAGGCGGTCTTTGTGGCATCAATAGAAGGGTAAAAATCAGTTATTGGCTCTATGCTACATTTTTAGAGAACAAATAAACAAAACCATTTCTCTCTTTTCAAAGTCATAATGGTAATACAATGGTAGCCATCACAGTTGCAAATCCAAGAAATCCTGTGAATTTAAATATTCAGATTTATTATTGTAAGCAAATTTTCTCAAATCAGAGCAATCCTCAGTGAGAGCTAAACTATCTTCTGGCTCAGACTGTCTTACTAAGGTTTTTCTAGCAACTATTTGGTATTTACCTTCTGATTTAGGGTCTGATCCACTTATGCACAGTCTAACTTTCCTCTTGTGAGTAGTCCTATTTGCTATAATGGGACTATTCAAGTAAGTAAAGTTACTCACATGCTAAACTGTTTGCAGGGACCAAGACGTCAACTAATTATATTCTCTGCTTGAATGCAAAAAAGTGTGGAATTTATATTTTAGACATAGCAGAGTGATGTAAAATTGCTAGATTTTATTCTATAGAACAAGGTTCCAGTGAATGAGTCCAAGTTGTAATAATGATCTCACTCAAACCAAAACAATCCTAATCAGAAAACTGTAGGCTATACCTCTGTGTTTACACTCATAGACTTTAAGGCCAGAAGGGACCATTGTGATCATCTAGTCTGAGCTGCACATTGCAGGACACAGAACTTCAGCTATCCCCTCTTGTAATAGCCCCATCACCTGTGGCTGAGATACTGTAGTCTTCAAATAATGATTTAAAGACATCAAGTTAGAGAGAATCCATCATTTACTCTAGTTTAAACCAGTAAGTGACCCATGCTGCAAAGGAAGGCGAAACCCCCCCCCCCCCCAGGGTCTCTGCCAATCTGACCTGGCTGAAAATTCCTTCCTAACTCCAAATATGGCAACTTGTTGAACCCTGAGCATCCCGGCAAGACCCATCAGCCATATGCTGGGAAAGAATTCTCTGTAGTAACTCAGAGCCCTCCCCATCTAGTGCCCCATTTCCAGTCATTGGGGATTTTTGCTACTAGAAGTCGCAGATGGGCCACATGCCATTGTAGGCAATCTCCTGATACCATCCCCTCCATAAACTTATCAAGCTCAGTCTTGAAACAAGTTAGGTTTTTTGCCCCACACTGTTCCCCTTGGTTTAATCTGAAGTCAATTCTATGCTGCTGGGAGCTGAGATTTCCCCAAGAGTAATGAATAATGCTGACATCAAGTGGTAAAAACTCACATTATTGTTCGCCACGTTAGCCAGAGTTCTACTTACCTTTGCAAGTTTCTTACACTCTTGAAATATCTAATTCCTAAACCTATTACTCCTATTTTCGCCTTCAAATCATTTTAGAATCATAGAATCATAGAATATCAGGGTTGGAAGGGACCTCAGGAGGTCATCTAGTCCAACCCCCTGCTCAAAGCAGGACCAATTCCCAACTAAATCATCCCAGCCAGGGCTTTGTCAAGCCGGGCCTTAAAAACCTCCAAGGAAGGAGACTCCACCACCTCCCTAGGTAACGCATTCCAGTGCTTCACCACACTCCTAGTGAAATAGTGTTTCCTAATATCCAACCTAGACCTCCCCCACTGCAACTTGAGACCATTGCTCCTTGTTCTGTCATCTGCCACCATTGAGAACAGCTGAGTTCCATCCTCTTTGGAACCCCCCTTCAGGTAGTTGAAGGCTGCTATCAAATCCCCCCTCATTCTTCTCTTCTGGAGACTAAACAATCCCAGTTCCCTCAGCCTCTCCTCATAAGTCATGCGCTCCAGACCCCTAATCATTTTTGTTGCCCTCCGCTGGACTCTTTCCAATTTTTCCACATCCTTCTTGTAGTGTGGGGCCCAAAACTGGACACAGTACTCCAGATGAGGCCTCACCAATGTCGAATAAAGGGGAACGATCACGTCCCTTGATCTGCTGGCAATGCCGCTACTTATACAGCCCAAAATGCTGTTAGCCTTCTTGGCAACAAGAGCACACTGTTGACTCATATCCAGCTTCTCATCCACTGTGACCCCTAGGTCCTTTTCTGCAGAACTGCTACCTAGCCATTCGGTCCCTAGTCTGTAGCTGTGCATGGGATTCTTCCGTCCTAACCCACATGTGTTTACATGGCCCAAGAGTAAATCATATATTTTCTTTTTACTGATGCTTTCTATTAGGCTGAGACAGCACTACTGGAAGTAATGCATAGTCAGAAAAAGTATAGCCTTTGGAAGTGCTAATTTGATACAAAGAGCAGCAGAAGGAGAAATACAAGAATTCTAGCATGGTTTTTAGCATTGTCCAAAAACTCACATCTGGTTTAGAGGAGATTCTTCCTCCCCTAATATTCAAAGTCAGTTGTCAGAGCAAGAGAAAAATACATACCCTGGGACACAAGAATGGTCATCACCGAGGGTCATCTTTCCTCACCAAGCAGTGAGGCACGTATGAAAAAGAGAATTAACTACTTAGCTCCAAAGGAAAACTCCACATACTCCTTCAAGGAATGTGCATTTAATACAACACCGTGCTATTTATAAAGCATACAAAAATGTGCTAGGTGCATTACAGATAAATTAAAAAGACAGTTCTTTTCCCTAATATGCTTTAATAGGAGACAGAATCTTAGATCTGGGTTCACAATTGCTGATTTGTTTACCAAAAAAAAAGGGTAGAGGATTGAACATTCAACAATTAGAACATTCAATAAATAACAATCCAAACAAATAAAATTAGGAGAACAGTAGTTCCTGGCAAACATCAGTATAGTGGCAGATCAAAAGTTTAGAGTAGAGGGCTGTTATCATACCCTCAGAATCAGCTTACTATACACATTTTAAAGATGCAGTGTTGATTTGATAACCAAATAGGATTCAATACAAAGACAAAAGATTCTGAATTTTCTCGAGCTAATCAGATGTATTTTTGTCATATGTAGTGAGTAGGAACACTACTATACTCTGAACAAATTTTATATAAAAGTTTCTATAAAATCTAAACTAGAGAATATAACAACAAAAATCCTACAGTGGCCAATAATTACTTTATCAAATAAATTTTCACCTGGTTGAAAAATAGAAAGACTTCCATCAGTGTGTCCAAATACTACTTTTCCTTTCTTCTTTGGATGCCATCTAAATAGACAAATGTCTGACAAGAAACTATGTGCTTCTTTATGTACAGCTACCCCACTGTCTGGTCCTGAGATAGTCCAAATATACAATGGGCCTCTATGGGAAACAAATGCAACTGCATCACCTGCATTCCAGCACCAACTAAGTGAGGCAGGAACCCCTGAAACATTTAAAAAAAAAAACATGTAAGAACTAGCATTTGAAATTTAGAATGCTATTATCTATCAAATATTCGTAGCCCATTACTGACATTGGTCTTGAAAAGCTACAGATCTTAAATTACTAGTAAAGGAATACGTTAAGCATATTTTACAGACTTCAGTCTAAGCGTATGCAATTGTGTGTACTTGGCATGGCATAAAAATAAACTCTACTTACGCATTTTCAAAGAGTGAAAATTTTATGTACTACATGGCAGCGGACTACACATGCTTAACTTCTACTAGTGCCAAAGGGAGTTATTCATATGACTGAAGATTAGCCTGCTCCTATATGTTCATCCTTACACAAATACTTACCTTACAGTAAGAGTAATGAGCTGTTATTAATCAGTTAAAAAACAAAACCACTTGCAAACTTTTACAAAATGTATTTACGTTTTGGCAAAAACCCAGGAAGTCTAACCACAGTGGGCTAATCTACACTAGAAGCGCTACATCGGCACAGCTACACCGATGCAACTGCGCCCCCTGTAGTGAATCTGGTGAAGATGCTCTATGCTGACAGGGGAGAGCTCTCCCATCAGCATAATAAATCTACCTCCACAAAAAGCAGTAACTATGTTGGCGGGAGAAGCTCTCCTGATGACATAGCGCTGTTCACACCAGCACTTAGGCCAGTGTAACTTATGTCGCTCAGGGGAGTGGCTTATTCACACTGAAATAAGTGGTAGTGTACACCTGGTCTAAGACTACAGGAGCAGATAATTGCACCTGAACTTTAAAGTTTTGTAATCAGTGGGAGCTGTAGCACTTCTGAAAATCAGATCGCTTTTATTTAGGTGCTTAGATATGGACACAGGCACCTAATTTCAAGTATCCAAGTTGTAAGTGTGACCTCAGCATTTCCCACACTGCAATACTCCACATAATCATAAAAATTAGATTGCAAGGTGTGATCAAAGAACAATCTCAATAATATGTATTTCCCCAAGCCTCCCATGCACATTTTATTTAGGTACTTTTTTGTAATAGTACCATCAGAGATATCGGATATGCTACGAATGTAAAGTTAATAAGGGGTTTTAACACAGTTTATTCTGAAAATAAAAGCGGTGAGCAACATAGGAGGTACATAAATGGGATATGAAAACCATCTCCTTCAAATTCAATCATGGACTCTGGTAATTATTTAGGATTGATCAACTGGTTCTTAAAAAATAAGTACCAGTACTGATTTTAACCCATATCCTGAGCAAAAGTAAAATTTTTATCAGGGCTGAATCAATTCAGATTTCCTTGACCACTATTTGTGCTTTCATGTGACCTTTAGATCTCACAGCACGTAAGGTTTTCAAAGGCATGCCATATATTCTAGAAAATAACAAAATGAGAAGCCTCAGAGCACCAGAAAGCTTGAGAAGCCCAAGAGAGGCTCCCAGACCTTCTGAACCTAACAGAACTTGAAAAGGTACAGGATTGAAGAGGGCACATGTTGAAGAAACTGACTGCAGGAAAGCACCTGGGGTGCACTAGCTGCTTGCAGGGAAGGAACTCGGGCTTGTTGCAGAGGAAGTTATTACACTCAGCCTGTTGGAAAACACATTGGAAGATAATAGGGTTGGATCAACAGTTTCATACTTTTGAGAAGAGCTAGCTGCACATTAGGATGTTTATCTAAAATGAACCAAAAACTATATTTTAGAATTTAAGTGTGATCATTATTAGTAAATGGCCTCATCTGAACAGCAGCCTTTGTTGTAGACCAGTTTTTATTTGTGTTCAGCCTTGCAAAACTGTTATGAAAATTCATATCCAAATCATAAATCGTAATTGCCTACATTTCACTATGATGACTGATGATAACTGATACTATTTTACTTGCCAATAAAAAACAAACAAATAAACTTGCCCTGAGTACAAGGCATTTTGAAAGGCTGTAAGAAGAGTTGAAAAATTCAGTTTTCAGCAATTACTATACAGTTCAGAACAATGTACAAAAACACTGTGTTTTATCATATTCTACAATGAACTACAGTAGAAGTGAGGCTAAAGAATTTTGTGCTCCATCTATAACTGTTCAACTTCTAAAACGTTCTCTACCAATCATTCAACATTTAGTACATTGCGAGTATTTCTGCTATTTCAAAGATGAAGAGCTATAAGAAATAAACCTCTGTGTCTCCGATACCTTTTGTACTGTCCAGTTTTGCAACAGCTTTTTGTTCAGCCACATTCCAAATGATCACTAAATTATCTGCACTGGCACTTGCAAACATGTCAGGGTTGTGGGGACACCAAGATATTGCTGTGATTGTCTTTTTATGCTCAGACATAATTGCCCGGAGTTTGAATTCATTATATCGGTGATCCAACTAAAAAAAAAACAAATTTATTTTAGATACTCAAATTTCAGTAAACTCGCTTAATATCTATGGCATATATTGCTAAGTTGGATAGTGTAGCAGCTCAAGTCACTAATGGACAAGAATAGGAAGCGTACCATACTTAAAAGACTACAATTTGATTTCCACTGCATTTAACAAGTCCAAGTACTTGCAACTTTAATAAGCTAGGTCCATATAAATTTTAATTGCAGGGAAATGTGTCAATATTCAGTTAAGCCCCTCCCCTCCCTCCTAAAAAATTACTTCCATATGTTTCATACAGTAACTTCTTTTATTTCACTTCTATAGCACTGTTCATATCAGAATTTTAAAGTACTTTACAGGTATTATACCTATTTTACAGATGGCTAAACTGGAGCACAAAGAGATTTGCCCTATGTCACACAGCCAGTCAGTGGCAGAGCTGAGAACAGAATTTATGATTCCTGGAACCTTGCTCTAATCATAGACAAATAACAATTTGACACTGGAATTAATTAAAGCTATTGAATCAACCTAAAACATTTACTCATGATATAGTGATTTATAAAATACAGTGGGTCTCATCTTGCTTTGAATGAAATCAGTGGGAGTTTACAATATCAAGCAATCAACATAATCTCCAGGAACCTTTATTTAGTGCCACTAATGTGTATCCAACCCTTCAAATCCAGAAACTCCAGAATTTATGGATCAACCTATGTTTGTCTCATTTTAATACAACATGACTGATTAAAGACTTAGTAAAGATTTAACTCTGATTTTTTCACCTTAAGTCAAACTATTAATATTATTTTCATGTATATTCAGTGTCCTTAGCTGGCTTTTTTGGTTTAGTACAGCAAAGAAGGGGAAATGACCTAGGGAGAAGCTCCGCTATACAAGGTTTCGTTGTACATATGTAATACGATACATATTGTATTAATGGATACTATAATTTTGACTATATTTAGTATGCCATTTTTAATACTCATTTTTTGGCAGTATAAGCAATGGTTAGTACTTCGCAGCCCACAGGCAGCGGGCAAGGCTTCAGTTTATCCCCTCACTTGAACTCCATAATATGCACCTCACTTACTCTATTTGCTGCAGAGATGTTTTACCCTATTATGAACAATTGTTCCACTCCCAAACCAGAGATGGATTTAAAACTGGGGGTTTATTAAAGTTAATATAAAAAACAAACAAACAAACAAACAAATGCAGCTTGCACACACCCCACACCAGCTCGGTCTCATCAGAGTATACCAGGAACCCCTCTGGGCCCACTTCCTGTTTCCCCACTATGTTCCATTTAAGGGAGAGCGTCCAGTTAATCTAATCCTGACATTTCCTTATCAGTGCTACACAATTCTGAAAGTGATGCACAAGCCAGCATGGAATCTTGCTCCCTTTCTCATATCTACACTGGCTCTGTAATGTTGACCTGAGTAACAAATTGTAACAATATTTTTTTTTAATTGTTTTGGAGTAGATCTGTTGAATAAAAAGATGCCAGTTCTTTACAGTCACTTTTCTGACTATAATCACACTTCAAAACTACTACAAGAACATTTCTTGAAAGTGATGAAAGTGAAGTAGGAAGCAAAGAACAATGTTCTAAAGTAAGTAGTCTATTGAGAAAAAAGTAATCTTACCTGGTAAATATAAATAGCAAGTGTGGCACAATAAGCAAATCTATCCCCACTAGCAGCACATACATCTTTGTTCCAAGGCTGACATCCAGCAGCTAAAAGGCCCACTTGCTTAACCTGTGACATCTTTGCCTATAAAAAATAAATTTATGGAACTGAGACATAGAGACAGGACACTTTTTTAATGAGCCAACAATGCACTTTTGTTCAACTGTATGTTTAAAAATATATCCTTTAATTTTATAAATCAAGGCCATATGTTTTCTGAGATACAATGAATATACCAGGAATAAAACCATGCAGATATTTATACTATGCAAGGAAAGGGGTTTAAGGTCATTGGCAAACATACATGCAGGAAGAGACAATTGAAGACAATAGAGCTATGCTGATTTAGAACAGCTGAGGATCTGTCCCAGTATTCCTTTTTGTTATCTCTTGTAGTAAAATTCAACATTTTCTATTCTTAAATCTAATTCCCCACAAAAATGTGTGGGTAAAATACATCATGTGCCAAACATCTCAATGTAAAACAAATTAAGCAACGATTTTTCATGAATTTTTTTCTTAAATTTTTAAACCATTATGGGCTAATTATTTAATTCCTACTCTTTCCCTTTTGGAAAGGTAATTTTTCGTATCTTCTCAGTAGTCTACATCTACAATAAAAGATTTAAAATGCATCAGGAAAAATAAATAGGAAGACAACTGACATATGTTAATGTATCATTAAACGTCTTTGTGGACACAATCTTACCGCTTTGTAATGGGACTCTCCTGTTGACCCACCTTGTTAGTAGGTATTAGACACATGAATAACGCTGCAGAAGTACTGCTGGATCATTATGGGAGTGGCTCTATAGAGAGAATAGGTCCCATAGGGAAAACCAAGTTCAAGAAGGAAGCTGGATATGAGATTTATGCTTTGTTATTGTGTCTGAGTTACTAGTTTTGTTGGGGATGAGATAGTGACTCAGCCCATTCAAACCCTTCGTATAGTGCCCCATGACCAAGACAGCACATGTATCTGCACATAAATCATCTATGCTATACTGAGAGCAATTGCAAAAACAAACCACTTAACCTCTATTCCTCCCCACAAATGAATTACTGCAGGGTAAAACAAAGCAGGGTATGATATCACAATCTCACTCTCAGTGGGAGATACAGATTACTAATGAAGTGTAGTGGTGCCTTAAAAATTCCAAAACAATTTTCATTTATATTAATACACAGAACTTGTATTTAATACGAACATTAAAACATTTTTACAGTTCTTTAAGAACAGTGAAGCATATTCTCAACTCAACACACACTGCATTAGCCGTGCAATTCCCATCCACAGGCATTTTTCATGAGTTGACAATGTGCCCTCATTTAATTTTTTAAATGAGAAATAGTAGGTTTTGTAAAAATATGAATTAATCAATGGTCCAAGTGACAGTGGGGGCGGGAGGGAGGGAGAAAGAGAGAGAGAGAAATCCTTTGCACTCTAGATCAGTGGTTACCCAATGGTGTTTTATAGCCTCCAATAGTCCACAGAACACTTCTAAGTGCTTCCATTTTGGTCTTAGTATGAAGCATCTGTCAGTTTCCAAGCTTGCCTGAAGAAGAGCTCTTTGTAGCTCAAAAACTTGTCTCTTTCACCATCAGAAGTTGGTCCAACAAAAGACAGTATTTCACCCACCTTAGCTCTCTAGTTTCCAAGCAGTGAAAATTCCTACTAGTGTAGGACTAATCCAGAGTAGGACACTTTAGGGATTCCAAACACACCACATCACTGCTTCATGCCTTTCTTTTTGTGTGTTTCTCTGGCATAATTTCAACCATGATTAAATTTGCAGAGGACACCAAAAGTGGAGGGATAGTAAACACACATGATGACAGATCCAAACTCCAAAGTGACTCCAAAGTGAGATTACAGTAGTGGGGGCTTCAGGCATTGAAGGGGAGATTGAGTACTAATTACTATTAGTTAAGCATTGACAGGGTAAAGTCAAAGCAAAGGAAATAAATAGCACTGATACAAAAATAAGGGCACATAACTAAGGATCCGTACCACATTAAGACTGTCCTAATATTACTTTAATGTGCAACTAAGTACAATAGGGAAAGTGGGAAATCAGACTGGGAAGCTTGGAGAGAAAATTCCTTAAGAAGTGGTTCACCTTGTGGCTTGCAAAATCCACTCACATAGGGCAAGGAGGACTTTTTCCTCAAGTGTGGGCCATCAGCTTCTGCAATATCTAAGCTTTCATTTAAAAAAACAAGTTAAAGTCTCTAGCTCTTATATAAAGATAACCTCTCAAATACAAACTAAGCGTCAGCTGATGCAACGTCAACTTCTTAAGTCTGCAGAAAGTACCAGAGCCAACATCATTATTACGGGAAGGGGAGGCCTGGTAGCTACAGCTGCGTCGGGTTGAGAGCAAAGAGGATTGGTGGCCGCTGTTAGGAATAGAGTGCCCTGGGGTGGTGCAACCCGTTGGGCAAGGGGTTTGTTGTATTAAGTTAGATGGAATAAATGAGCCAAAGGTGTTAAAAAACCCAGTCACTGTCCAACGTTAAACAGTGTTAAACAAGGTCCATGGTTTGGTATAAAGAGATCTCAGCCTTAGTACCATGGCAAACACACCATTAAAAATCCTTTTAACCTTTTATTAAAGATCCAGAAAAGATGGAAAAACAGTTAAAGCATTTGAAATGTAAAGTATTAAGTAAAGCTTTCATTTTAACAACATTTCTTGTTCCCTTTCCCTTTAGCTGGATTATACCCTGGCTCACTGAAATTCAGTCAGAGGAAAATATAATTTTAAAAGCCTAAAGACAGGGAGACTTCTAAGGCTTAAAGCTCCATTCCAGAGCTCATGCAGGAAGAGGAAGGGGTTCTCACACTGGGCTTAAGATTACCCTCATCAACCACAAGAAAACAGCAATTATGCATTAGAGACAGCCCCACTCTTTCCTTCAATGTGCTTGCATGGTGTATTGTACGTAGTACTTTGTATTTTTAAATGATATAAAGAAGTCTGGGTAGCTGAATGTATCATTAACGGGATGCAAAGCCTTTAGGTTGCTGAATGAAGGCCAGGTTAATGGTGACCAAGAGGCATTGCCATCTGATGGCTGTGAAATGAGTTTGTATTTTCAATTTAGTTCACAATTGATGTGTGTCCATAACACAAAATATATATCACATTAACTAATGTACTTCTATTTGCAACATGAATTTGGCTGTACTTTCCCTTCTTTCTGAATACATTTATAAAAAGGCAAAAAGTAACTTAATGAAAAGATAGAAATATACCTTTTAGAGAGACTCAGCAACAGGTGACTCAGCAACAAGATGAGCCAGGTCATTTGAAAATATTATATTTTTTGACTTTGATAAGTCAGTGGTTTTCTTAAAATATGTTCTCAAAATGAAATTATGCTCTTAACAGCACATTTAAGAGGAAAAATATGATTTTAAGATTTATTACTATTTTGTTGAGATAATCACACATGCTTAAACGGCATCATTTCTGTGTTAAATCCTTACACAGTTGTTTTTACTATTTTTGATTTGCAATTACATTTAAATCTACATTTTCAGACTATTTTAGTATTTACCCTGAGCTATAATGTATAAAGTACTTCAAACTTTACTCTAGTATCTCTTGTAAACTTGCTGATTTTCTTTTGTTATTTATAAAGAGTTTCAATGTCACTGTCTGTTTGCAAAATACTTCAGTTTTATTTCATGATAAAGGAAGTATTTAGTCTGAAATCCATTACAGCTAAAGAACTTAAATAATATTTTACAAGGATTGTTATATCTCTTGTCAACACCATGCATCAGGCCAGTATCCAGCAGATTTCCTCAGACATTGCAGGTTTCAGTAAACGTGCTCATAGTATGAGACAGAAAGCAGCATTCATCAGAACATCAGCGTGAAGAAAATGGCAGCAAATAAGAAAAGCACTATAAATAAATATCAAAACTGTTACGTTACATCTTTAGCAATGTTGATTTTTCAGTCATCCTCTGTTAAACTAATTTCTATTCAAAATAGAAACGATTATTTTATATTTATATATAGCATGTAAATTATGCAGAAAAATTTTGCTTACTCAAAAATTCTGTAAAATGTACACAGCACTAAGGAAGCTATTATTAAAGAATGTCTACAGTTTCCTAGGAGACAGAGAAAAGCCCAAGCCTTTTCTCTTTTCAATTGGCATGAGCAGAAACATAATAAGTCCTTCCTAATTACTAAATATAGAAACCAGCATTAAACTGAAAGTCTGTTTACCTTAGAGATACTATTATTAAATAACAAACCCATATGACAAAATGGATTGGATGAATGGCTACAGCTATATTATTATTTATAGATACATGCCTATGTTATCCCTACCTTAGAATAGGTATCATTTTTTGTGAACCACTTAAGAATTTCCATGTCCATTCCAAAACCTCGCAGCTCCCAAAATATACCACCTCTTAATCTGGATGTAGCAAGAAATCACTTTACTCAAAGAGGAAGGAACTAAACCCTGATGTTCAAAGAATAATGCAGACTTACTAAAGGATGCAGAAGAAAAGCCTGAGCATTGTGTCGCACCACACACACAAAACGGCAGTGTCAGTAGCCTGGCAATTGCAGCTCTTTAAGAGGTACCATTTTAATTTTAATCTAACTCGTTTTGCTCTATTTCATGTACTCTATGTATTTCATCTATTTGCTGTAATTCAAGATTGTACTACATTGTTATCTGCAAAACAGTGAAGAGGCAAGACTGGCACAGTACAGCATCCTTTATCAGGGTGTATATGTGTGTGTCTGTGCCAGTATATAGGCACAGACACACACACCCTGATATTTATTCAGATTCTGAAATTTTACACTTTTATGATGTTAGAAAATGATGACTGATGCATTTCTCATTTACCAGATGATAATTAATTTGTTACTTTTGACTTCTGTATAGCTCTTTTTTGATGGAAGTTTGAGTTCAGTTAAAAATGCTCAAAAACAACAATTTAAAGGTTTTTTTATTAGTTAAATAAAACTACATTAAACATGCTGGATACATAGGAAAAATGATTATCAAAAAGTTTATCAAAACATGATATATATTTAAACCTA